AAGAAGTTAGCACTTTTTTTTCTTTGTTAGAGCGGTAATAGCGATACACATTCTGTGAAAATTTACACTAACCCTTACCCTTTACGTTTCATAAAGATACAGCTACTAGAATGACAAAACAATTAATAAGCGTTGTTAGGCACAAATTTGCCAATAATAATTTCTTATTCGTTGTGTGTTTATTTTTGTTGCAGAGCCTCCTGAGCAGTAGCGGCACGCCCGGAACTAATGGGGCGGCGCGAGCGCAGCGGGCGGGACATTTCATAGCAACGCAACGCAGTTATTTACTACGAAAAAGCTACGAAATTAACTGTAGACAAACATGTTGCAAGGCAATCTACTCCGTCCACAAACTATGCAAATCGAATTTTATATTTAAAACTGAGAGGGACAAGGAGAGATATCATTATAAAATAGAATACTTGTACATAAGTCAGTATCGATTAGAGAAACTATTTGCCTTATTATAAATAAAGTATTATGAGAAAATTTTATAGTAAAGTTAACTGAGCAGAGCGGTGATATTCTGAAAGAACAAACACACTTTTCGCCGCGAAATCCGCGTGTGATTTGACATTAGAATACAAATTGTATAATGTGAATTAAAATTTCAAATCGCACCGCGGATTCCGCGGTGAAAAGTGTACGTTAGTTTGTTCTTGCAAAGTAGCACTACAGTAGTCGCCATAGGATAGCTTTAAAATAGATACTACAGTGAAAAAAATGTATGCTACATAAACATTTTATATGATTTGTTTTAAAAGTGACCGATTTTAAAAGCTTCATTTAAGCAGCTAACCTTGCAAGTACAGATATGTACATTATTTATAGCAATATTTATCGGAGCTAGTATATTATCTACTCTATATAAGGAGTTGTGATGTTCACAATTCGCCTTAGGTACTGATTTCACTGAAGGATTTCTAAATTGAAAAAAAAATCACTATTTCAATTTTTTTATCTAACTTTTATTAATTGTGCTCAGAATAATCCAGGTGCGAAATAAAATTCAAATTGTTAATTTTGAATCGTAGATTTAGAATTTCGTTTAGTGTATTGTGTTACGTTATTGTTGGAATATTTAATTATTTTAAAATAAAACTTATATAGAATGTGATGCTTTTATTTGCCTCCCAAAAAAGTAATGGCAACCTTCGTTTAGTATTAGCTTCTATACATTTTAAGCAGTGTTACAAAAGTAAGTTTTTCACTAAAAATGTCAATTTATACCATACTTTTAGCATCGAGCGTATCTGATAATGGAAACGGAAAGTCGAAAGGGCATGAAAGAAGGGCCGCGTGAAACCCATACATACAATTAGAGCTGAACTATCAATGGAACAAAAATGCATAAGTTCTTTGTAAAGGCTTGCGCAGTCGTGCTCTTATTCTTAAACTTCATGTTAGTTAACAGTTACAACACAACGTAATCTCAGACAATGTTTGCTTCCATCACGTGCAATTCTTTCCGAGCAACAAATGTCTCAAACATGTCACTTAGTCTGATACAATCCGATCTTTAAGCAAGATCTCAAAAAGTTGTTATTAATGAGGCATAGCCTGCAGGAGCGCCCATCACTATGGGCGTGCCCCAGGGGTCAATGAAATGAAATGTCATTTATTCAGTCTAGGTTACAAGCACTTGTGAAGGTCAAGAAGCTACGCCATCAATATAAGGCCCATTGCTTTTCCTTATCTTCATAAACGGCCTTCCTCACTTCACCAAGTATTTCTGTTAGACAGCATTATATGCTGATGATACCTCTTTGATGTTTACAGTTAAACTTGGTAATGAATAATATGATGATGTGAATAGTGCTCTCTCTAAAATTTCACTATACATTGATTGCAATGGATTTCTCGTATTTGATGCCTTATCAAGTAGACTAAGTTTCGGTAGCTTTTGCGGTTAAGAAAATCACACTTCTGACTGATGTAGAAACGGCAGGATTACTTTACTTTAGCTACTTTGATAGTATAGTGACATACGGCCTTTTGTTATTGGGATCAGCTGCTAATATGAAAATATTTTCATATTACAAAAGAGAGCTATCCGTGCTTTATACAATTTAGGTCAACGTGAATCCCTTAGACAAATATTTAAAGTCTTAACGCTCGCATTATATAATAATAAATAATATCTTAACGCTCGCATCTCATCTATGAAAATATCATGTTCGTAAGGAAAAATTATGACACGTTTGCAATTTATAAACGACATTTCCGTTTATAATTTTAATACAAGAAATAAGAACAAACTTTCCATTCCATGTTTCAGGCTTCAAAAATCGAGGGGTTCATTTCTAGGTAGCAGTGTTACACTATTCAACAAAATTCCACAAGATTTAATGGAGCTTCCTCACACTAAATTTAAATCACATGTGAAGAAGAGCATAATTACAAAGTGGAAGACTATTTAAAGGATCGTAATGCATCGAAATAATAACTTAATTTGTTAACAATGCATTGAAATTGATTATTCTTCTCTTTTGTTATAAAATTTAAGCTGTCCCATGCACTTTTTTTTTGTTATTTTATTAATAAATATATGAAGTTGGAGTAGTCATGGTCTCTTTAAAGTCTCTGCGGTGGTGTCGTGTTAGGCGGGTCGTTGCGTTCCCGTAAATATGGTTGAGGGAAGCGATGACTGGTTCATGCGTCATGCTCGTGAACGGGTGCAGCCAGCAGGAATGAGTCTGCTCTATACTGCGTAACTCTTGAGACGTTATCTATTATATCTAATATGATCATGATTATCGACGTTTTTTTTTGTAAATGTTGCTGATTCTGTTGCTGATGAGTTTCTTGCGCACATTCTTCTCATCAAACCAAAACAAACAGCAAAAGATGTTCTGAATTCTAACTATTTTTCAATTCAAAAGAGTAAGCAAGTCAATTTGTGTAAAGTACGAGTAATATTTCATTTCAATACCTACAAGTTAGTGAAAAATAGAAACTTTTTAACAAAATATAACCTGTACCTTTAGCACGAACCTTCAAATTCGTTACCATTGAAACTGCGAATCTTCATCCAGAAAATTTGTAACTCGAACAGCGCTCATAGAAAATTACTAGTTTTTTTATTGAGTTTTATATAACAAGAAAATAAACCTTTATTTATTAACATCGCTTTTATTTACTTAATACAATAAAATCGAGCCCGAAACTAAAAATATATAACTTTAGACTTTTTATATTTTTTTCATCTTTTAAAATACAGGGCAAAATATCTGTAGAATTTTGACGTAGAGCAATAATGAATTGTTTCATCCAACCTATTTTTGAAGTTATACTTCTTTAGGCGCGTTATGAAAAAATGATGAGAGTGAAATTTTAAGATGCGCGCGCATCACTGTAACACAAAATTTTGACAGTAGCGACCAACTTCATGCGTTACTTTTGTGTTTACCGCACATTAAGAAAATCTACCAACAAAATAGAATTAGAATCTCTATTTAGTGGGCGCTAAGGACTGCATTGTGAGGGCCTATCAAAAGTATTTATTAATCTGGAACAACGGAACCAAAGCGCGATTCAGGAGACTACAGCGCCATCTCTTGACCGTTGGTGTAGTAGAACCAAAAACCACATCTTTATCATTTGTAATAAAGTAACAGTTATAGGTATTCATATTTATAATATTTATCCAAATGTTTCTAGTTTGTATATTCGGAATACGTGTTTGAGTTTCATACAAGTTCAAATCACATATGTTCTAATAAATTATATTCAGTGGCGATTTTAATTGAATATTTTGATTATTTATTTATTTTTTCAAATTAAAACTGAACTTTATTGACTTCGTCCTTTTCCAGACTTTTTATTAATTTATTGTAATTAACTATTTGCATGCAATTAAAAACTAATTTTAAACGATGCCAAAGAAGGATAACTTCTCACGCGCCTACATAAGTACACGCACCCATTTTTTTTTTTATGCTTGTAGCATACTAGATAGTATATAATATCTCTTTCTGACACTCTGAGAGTGCTGCTAGTAGTAAAATAAACAAAGGTAACATGGAAATTTAATATATTCCCATGTGACACCCTTATTTTATCCTGACTTCGAATATGAGGTTAAAATTTAACTTCATAGGCTTAAGTTAACTCTTTCATTACCGGATAAACTAAATTTAATGGCCATTAATTTAATAAAATCGCCGCAAATGGAGCAAACAGTTCACGAAGCTCTCACAAAATACGTCATTTCTCTAAAATATGTGTACACATACAGAGTCGCTCCACTGCTTCCTGCTCCATGCCCTTCCTTTTGCACTTTTTTCTTTTTACCCGACTGCCAAAGAGGGAGGGTAATGTTTAGGGAGTGTATGTAAGTATGTATGTATGTCTGTTCCTTTGTGACCTCCTGTAGCCTAAACGGCTTGATGGATTTTGATGTATGAGGTATCGTTAGATTTGTCTTGATTACGGGAGTGTCATAGGATACATTTTATCCTAAAAGTCCCACGGGATAAAGACATAATAATATTTTTTCTAAATTTCCCTTTAAAAAAATATGTATGCGGTATCATTAGATTCATTTTTAGACTGTCTTAAGGTACTTAATAATTCCCGCGATATTAATTCCCTTACTGAAGTAACAAGACTACGGTATATACCGTCTTAAAATACTAACTAACTAAAAAGTGTGAAATAAAAAAGGTAAATTTAAAAAATCAAAAAACCCGACTGCTTAATTATACTTCAAATAAAAACTGAAAAGAAAAAAACAAGTCCAGTAGTCTATAATTCTGTTAATAAGGAACAAAGCTACTTTAACAGTCGGGACCCACTGTTGAAAAATATTATGTATTCTTGAATATCTAATGGGTCCCGACTGTTAAAGTAGCTTTGTTCCTTATTAACAGAATTATAGACTACTGGACTTGTTTTTTTCTTTTCAGTTTTTATTTGAAGTATAATTAAGCAGTCGGGTTTTTTGATTTTTTAAATTTACCTTTTTTTACAATACATACATTTTTATTTATCATCATATAAAATAAAAAAGCAAACTTTGTTTAAATAAAGATGAGGTCTCTGGTTTTTTTCAGTTCAACAATCAGTTTTTATGTCGACTTGTATCATCTAACAAATTCGGAGGGCGGGTCAGTTGAATTTTTTTAAGAGGGTGGAGATCGGATCGCCCTCCGTCCTCCTCCGTATATAACGAGATCGACCCTCCCGGCGACCTCAGTCGCGAACGCCGATGCGCCCGCGCCTTCCCTCTCATAATATTCGCGAATCTGCGACGTTTGGACAATATCAGCTCGGTCAGTGTCAAGGGTGATGTCTCCGTCGAACGGTGGACTGCCACGCGGCTACGAGTCGTGCTGGTTCTCGGTGCAGGAGCTGGCGGCGGCGGTGGCGGTGGGAGCGGACGGGCCGTGGGAGGCGGGTCGCCTGCGGACGGCGAGCGGCGCCGCGGCGTCGGCGGCGGGGGCGGTGCTAGCGGCGGACGTGGCAGCGCGCGGCGCCGAGCTGTGCCTGGCGGACGATGGCGGCGCACGCCTGCGCCTGCGCCTGCGCCTGCTGACGGACCTGCCGCCCGGCGCCGCGCCCCCGCTCTGGTTTGACGATGCCGCACTTGCTGCACTGCGTATGCCCTTCCTCACCCTCGCCAATATCAAAGGTGAGTCCGAGAATTTTTTATACATCGCGAATTCTCGAAGGCGTTCGACGAAATTAATCACTTTGTATATTAATCAGAAAGCTTTTCGATGACGATGGTGAGCTGCTATTTTTGAGTCTCGGTCGTAATAGAGCCGTTCCACTCGATTGAGATTCTTAAATATTTCTTCAGGCATTTCTCAAGGGTCCCTGGGTTTTTAAATGACTTAAAAAATATATACCTACTGAGAAATTAAGAACCTTTTCCTTTTTGATTGTTGTTCGCGCGTATCTCCAAGCTGCGTGGAGCTATTTTGATAATTATATTTTAGTTAGAATTAGTTTTTAGCTAGATAATCCCATATCAATTTGGTATGGAACTGAAGATACTTTCGGAAAAAACAATGGAAATCCTCAATTACTAACAATTCATGTTTGGTTATTTTAAGAGATAAAGGTCCGTATTACAGAATGACAACTAAGTGTTGATCTTTACTTGAGTACAGTTAGAAAGGGATATCGCTATGTGCTATATATAGCGACATCCCTTTCTAACTATGCTCAAGACTAGATCAATCACTGAGAATCTTTCTATAATACGGGCCATAAAGATATAAATAAAGCCTCTAATAAGTAAGAAATGTTCATATTCTTTACTCTTTTTTTTTATTTTGCTGCCTTAAAAGTTCACAAGGTTCAAGGTTGCCCCTCATATGTTATTCTGCCGCGCTCGAGTAAATCCCAAAATTCCGCTTGATCTCCGTCTACTATAGTCCAATTTTCCCGAAATAAAGGGTCTCGGCAGACAGATAAACAAATAGACAGGCTATCTTATAATCTTAGGGTTCCATTTTTCCCATCCTTCCGGCACTCAAATCGCCCAGAATTTTCTTTTTCCTCTTTTTTTAATCAATCCTGTTCCGAACATTTTCCACTTTGTACGATTTTAAAAGGCATCCGCCCTGGTCTAGCACTGCAAAGGTGCTCGTATCTCAACAGTTGTCGATGTAGTCAGTAGGTAGCTAGTGGGAGTTGCGTCAAGTGTGTGGTGTGTGACAGGCGGGCGCAGCTACGAGTGCCACGTGTGCGCGGCGCGGTTCGAGCGGCCCAACCCCCTCAAGCTACACCTGTTCCTGGGCTGCGGCCGCTTCGAGCCGCGCGCCTTCTGGACGCGAGCGTTGCCGCGCCTCGCGCCCGCCCTCCCCCTCCCCGTCGCCGTCGGCGTCGAGACCGCCAATCGCTTAGATGCCACCCTGACACCCATCGAACCCGCACTGGCGAGGCTTGAGGTAAGGTCCCTACTTAGTGTGATGATGATCATCATTATGTAGTGTGTGTCTATTTTCAATTTGTTGTCTGTCTGTCTTGAATTAAAAATCCCTAGGCATCGGTAAATAATATTGCCAAGATTTTCCAAAATTTGCGGCTGGTTGGACGACGCACGACGAAGAGCATCGTGGTCTGGGTCCAATAGCAAAGGACGCTGGTTTGATTCCAGTATGATAGTTGGGTAGTTGAATTTTTTCTATAGGAATTGTTTACTTTGGTAAGCAAATTCTAGCAGATTAATCACTTTATCTGGTCCGCGTGGATTTGATTCTAGTAAAGATTAGATTTAGATTTAAACGTGTAGCAGTTAAATGCTTAAAATATAAACCTTTAATATTCTTGTATACCTATTATTATTAAATGCTAGTAAAAAAAAACATTAACCGAGCTCAGGATCGAATCTCCGATCCTTTGGTGTTGACCCCAAGAACTACATTCGGCTATCGGTCTCTTGCAGACAAGAGCAACGCGGATGGCGCGGCCAGCCGCGTCGGCTGTGTTGCTCTATGCTTGCAGAATACGTATTTTGTTCTAGTAAACTTTTCTGTCGATTTAAACATCTAGCAGTTAAATGCTTAAAAAGTAAAAAAACATAACTAGGTACATATTTTGTGTTAAATACTTTACTTCCGTTTCATCGAATCTCATGACGCAACGATACTTAGACTACTTTTTAGGTATAATCCGTGACGATACTAAAGAAATTTTCACTTCAATAAATATTTCGGTACAAGTCACTGTCTGTGGAACTGAACTCAATTTCAATTAGTGGCCGAACACTACAATATTTTGTTTCGTTTTTTGTAAGGAGTTTTCAAAAAGTGGCAGTCAGTATCGCATGAAACGTTCGATTCCAGGCGCTGGCGGCGGAGTGGGGCAAGTCCCGCGGCGGGCACGCGTGCGTGTACTGCGGCAAGCTGTACTCGCGCAAGTACGGGCTCAAGATCCACATCCGCACGCACACCGGCTACAAGCCGCTGCGCTGCCGATACTGCGCGCGCGCCTTCGGGGACCCCTCCAACCTCAACAAGCACGTGCGGCTACACGCGGGCTCCGCTGCCAGTGGGGCGGGGCTCGCGTGCGCTCAGTGCGGCGCCCGCGTGGCGCGACGCCGCGACCTCGAGCGACACGTGCGCGCCAGGCATCGCAGTCCCGTCCCCGTGCTCACCGTCCACTCGCACTGACGTTATAACACTGTCGTAGTCGGCGATGACTTGACCGATCCTCCGCGGTTGTGGTCAGCGGAAGCGCGCGCCGATCGGAACACTTCCATCAGGGCCCGCCAACCTCAACAAGCACGTGTGGCTTTGTGCGGGGGCAGGGGCCGGAACGGGAAACGCGGGGCTGGCGTGTGCCGATTGTGGCGGCCGCGGAGCGAAACTAGAGAGACCTGGAGAGACTCACCAGGCCCCGCACTAACCGTCCACTCACAGTGATGCTGCGAGTTTGCCGTTGATGACAACAGAGGTATCGTGTGGACATGAACATGCCTTCGTGATTATATACAGCGGAGGCCCGGAATATCAACCGGAATACTCAGGGCCTCCAACCATATCAAGCACAAGTGGTCTAGTGTGGTCAGTGCGATGCCCGCGTAGCAAGAAGCACGGACATACGCGGCACGTGCGTTCAAGGCGCCGCACTCCTACTCTCGCACCAACCTTGCACTCGCACTGACGTTACAAGCAGTTGCAGTAGACGATAATAGAGGTGTCATGAACTTTCCTCGGTGATTGTGGACAGCGCAGTCGCGGAATACCAAAGAACAGTTCCTCATGGCCTCTCAAGTTCAGTTCACCGTTTAATTGAAGAATGGCTACCAAAACCGTGCCGTGGCATCAATCAGCGACAAAGAATTCTTATCGCATGCCAAAGAAATAAGATGCTGTTGAACCAAATATGATGAAATAAACATTTATTTCATAGAATATGCTATAAATAATATGACGGCAATGTTGTTGTTTTTTTTGTTCACATATGAGGAGCTGACGAACAAAAAGATATAATTACGCATCTGGTCAAACTACTCTTTTTTAAAAGTCCGGAGGTTTAGGCCTAACCGCCTAAAACAGTGTTAAAATTACTAAATTTATAAATTAAAAACCATGCCAAAAGCTCACTGTAGGTGTGTGATTCTGTTTTACACAGCTCTTATAAAATTTAATTTTATGTAATTTTATTTTCATTTTATTTTATACCGTTTTGTTTGCCAGCTCCTCATATTCTACCATGATAAGCGGCTTAAAAATAATAAATGATAAACACATAAGGCTAATTTTACTATGCAATAACTATTAAAACTATAGCAAATAAATCTTTATATTATAAAACATCGACTGGCATAAAAACTGTTAGCATCCGAATTTATCAAAAGCGAAACTGTCATTTTTAATATTATACATTCAGAGTTGCATTATTTCTTCAGCTCCGACACCTGAATTCGACGATATTCCGCCGATTTATCAGTACCCTTATACCAGGTTCATACGAAGCGATTTAAATCGATCAACTTTTATCGTTAAATTGCTTTTCTTCAATTTGGTTGCTTCAATAAATTTAATTGAAAGTCTGTTCACAGTCTGAACCTCAGATGGTTCAAATCGCATAGGATTCAGCAGTTGATCAATTAAAATCGGCTCGTGTGAACCCGGTTAATACCAGGTAATTGCTAATGCAAGAACCATTATCGAATTCGTATAGTAAAATTCGATCTCGGTGCGCGTTTATGTCAGTTTAGACATTCGAACAGCGCCGCATCGGACGTAACGACAATTAAAAATCTTCCTTACAAAACTTCTTGACATTTGCGCGTAAAGATAGAATTCAATTATCCGAACTCGATATTTGTTTGCTTTGTGCTAAGGGCAGCTCAATGTGTACCTATAACGCTGTGGAGCGGGTGAATTTGCTGTTAGTTTCTGAAATTCTCTTCGACTTTGGGTTAGTACGAGTTGAGCATTTGTAATTATATTAGGTATTTATTATATTTTAGGCGTTATCGTAAGAACCCTTTAAATGAGAAATCTTTTATACAAAACCTTAAGATTAAATCAAAGGGAAGATAGTGTACAATCAAGGCAATCTACATAATGCAGGTTTTCTACTATACAATACCTAAGCAATGTATAGAATGCCTGGGGAGTCTAGACTATGTATGAAATATTATTTAGCATTTTTTACTTTGCCTAGGTAATGCATAAAATTTCTAGGGATTGTATAGAGTAACTGCTCATCCGTACCGTATTTATCGTAAACAAAACTAACCTAGCCTACCCAGTTGGATGTAAAATGACGGACGGATTTTATAATTATTTTTGTAATCTACATTTAACATTCACAGTGGGTTGTGCCTTAAAACTTAGCGGGAGCCGAGCAAACAAGGCGAGCCTGCCGCGTTAGCAGCCAGTGAAACGACTTGCGGATTTACAGACTGTCGGTAACATATGCACTTAAGGCTATTTTACATTTCGGTAACAACAGTACAGTTAATTTACGGTCTTGGGAGTTAAGATTTTATTAATCGTTTAGATAGGGATTTGGCAGTCGAGTACCGCTTATCTGTCTGATTTTTAAACTTGCTACTGTACTTCTCGAAGTGTAGATCAGCCTTTACTTGCGCCCTAAAAACCCTATATTGTGGAATTAGACATTTTGTAACCTTGAAGGAATTATTCAGCATTGCATTGCTGCATAGTATAAAAGACACTAGACAGGTAGGCGAGGAGCTCGATGGCGGTATTTAGCGCTTTCGGCTGCGATCGTTAAAGTTAAGCAACTTTCACAGTGGTCGGTCATCGGATGGGTGACCAAAAATCGTCTACCTCGACTTCCTCCGTGCTTCGGAAGGCACGTTGAGCCGTTGGTCCCGGCTGCATTTGCAGTCGTTATCACCCGCTAATCCGCTCTGGGCCCGCGGGGGAGGGGGGGTCTCCCTATTCCATCTATAGGTTCAGGCCTGTACCCCAGCAGGGACATTAAAAGGCTGATGATGATGATGATGAGACAGGTAGTGGGGTGAATGAAAGTCCGTGTGATTTGGGTTATGTATTTATTGTTGAGGTTACTGCCCCTGCACCTTGGCAGCGATGCGCTTGTCGCGCTCCTCGGCGATGGTGAGTCGCACGCCCTTGCCGCGCGGCAGCGAGATGTACGCCTTCGTGCCCTTGCCGATTATGAACACGTTGTTCAATCTGCATACAAACACAACAATATATTAACTATCCATTATCCAGACTAGTGCCTATTCCGGCTGATTCTTTAAACTTGTAAAGAAATTTAACATCCGTCTTTCCTATTAAATCTGTATTCGCTGGGTGCAAAGTATGAGATGGGAGATGCGCGAAATGATCGCAACACGTACCGTGGGCAAAAGAGGAACTTTCGGCGAATCAACTGTCACTATTTATAAGCAAAATTTTCGTATCCATGCATCTTAAGTTCATAGATGATAGTTTTCAATATTAAATATTAAAAATATGAATTACATTATTCAATAAAATTTGTTTATTTCTTCACTTCTCGTGAAGCATGAGAAAGTCTGTGTGTACTACTTGGTTTTGTGCCATTTTAAACAGAAAATAAAAAAGGTCAACGTCAATATCAACATAATAGATTTACATGATCAAATATAATTAATGTAAATTAGGATATTTTATTGAAATTATTAATTTGTCTACTTATTATATGTAATGACAGCCAGCCATTTGACATTTCAAAATCCGCCGTAATTGTAACCATTAGGGGCTGTCAAACTTAATTATAGATTTAGAGAATCATGCCGATATCGATAACATTAACTTTCTCAAATAAGGTTGGACTAATTATGCAAAGTACTGTTTATCTAATTAACTAATTACAAATGTTTGTTGAGGTGAACCAAAACTTGCATAAGGATTCAAGCTTATTTTTCGTTTATTTATAACAGTTACATAATATTTCTATTTGGTTTAATTCAAATTTTTTATTGTTTTGCCTTGCAAGAAAGATTTCATATTCTGTGAAATATCAGGAGTAGTGTGTAGTGTGTCTGTATACCTGGTAGCGAAGGTATGTCCGGTGGAGTCCCGTATATGCACGATGTCGAAGGACCCGGGATGCCGCTCGCGGGACACGATGGTGCCCACGCGCCCCAAGTTACGGCCTCCCGTGATCATACATAGATTACCTGCACCCACACCAAACGTCAGATTTGTTATATTAAATGACATACAATAGTGTTGATGATACAATTGAAGACCAAGTGCAAAAATAAAACACTTTATCAATAGGACCAATGTGTATTTGACGCGATAAATTAGTTTTCTAGCGGAAGTTGGTGAGCGAGGATAAACAGCATTATAGACTCATCAAAAAAGTCTAATGTAACATTTTGTATGGTGCCAAACTTTTAAACAGTTTTTGTATAAGAAAGGAATTATCCCAAATTTGACTATGAGTTCTGTGATTTATGATATACATAACAATATCTTCAAGAGGAGCCCGATGGCGCAGGTTACTTCGAAATTAAATAACTTTCGCAATGGTTGGTCAGTAAATGGGTAACAAAAAACTTATTATCTCAGGCTCCTCTGTTTCGAAGGTGTGTTAAGCTGTCGATCCCGGCTGTAGGTCGTTAGCACCCACCAATCTGCCCATCTAGAGAATCACTGCCCAATCTCACTTAGTCGCGTCAATAAATCGAAAGTCCTTAGAAACAGCTCTGATCTCGTTTTGTTTTTTTATTTTCGTTTTTTTTTTTATATTCTTTAAAAGGGAAAGTTTTAATTTAAAAAAAAATTGTTTATAATTTAGTTTCAAACTTTTAGAATATAAATATGCAATTATTACTAACAAATATACTATTAACAACTATTCTTAACACCAAAGTTAATACATAAATATTTTTGTTCAACAAAAACCATGCAAAAACTTGTTTCCTTATATATAAATAATTTACATATTGTGTAAACAATACAAATAATTATTTTCCCCCTCTGAAATATTTCTGATTTTAAATAATACAAAAAAAATCCAGATTAGAGCTGTTTCTGAGGACTTTTGAAGATTGGATGTTTTATGGCTTCATTGACGCCACTATTCCATCCATAGAGAAGGTCCGTGCCCCAGCAGTGGTGACATTAATATAGGCTGATGTTGATCAATTTACAAGTACTAATAAAGAAGTACTACAATACATGTTTGCAAGTTTGATGTCAGCTTTCAATTTGACAACACTGTATGAAATAGAACTGGGAGAAAAAAGCAATGCTTGCTGAGTTTCTTGCCAGTTCTTCTCAGTACAAGGTCCCCACTGATTTGCGAATCAATGGCGTATCTAACTCCTTTTAGATGCGCTTGTAAAAGCCTAAACTGAATAAATGAATATTGAATTTGAATTGAATTTACTACAAGCTATACTCCTTTATTATTAATATTAGAAAAAAGCTAGCATTTACCAGATTCAAACTTGATGAAGTCCATGATCTTGGAGGTGGCGATGTCGAGCTGGATGGAGTCGTTGACCTTGATGAGTGGGTCGGGGTATCGCACGGTGCGTCCGTCGTGGGTCACCAGGTAAGGCACGTTCTTGGGGCCCGTCGCCACGCGCCGCACCTTGCACAGCTTGTACTGGATGACCACAAATGCTACTGTTACTTACCGACATCACATTATTACTCACAATTAATTTTCTAACAAATTTGATTGACAAAATTCATGTTCCAGGTAGTCAAACATAGCCTTGTCTTAAAATGAACAACATTTGACATGTAAATTTGACCAAATTTATTGTTTACTGGGCAGTTAATACTAAGATAATGCCCATCACCATGCTTTTCACCTAACACAGCTTGTACTGCACCATGACAAACTGGTTGTTAATTACTCATATCATATTACTTCTTTAACAGTAAAGTAAACAAACCAACCAACAGTTACTTACTTATATCACATTATATTTATCATTACAATCTATAAGAGAGAAACAATCGAAACAGTTGATTTCAAAGTGAATGATACTACATAGGTACATTAAAAATTAAAAAGCAGTTAGTGTTGACAAATTGAGTCAGCACAAACCCAAATAGAAAACAGTGATGCAGATCTGACAGGCATTTTGTATGTACTTTACATTTTAGTAAAGAATAGTATTTTTTTTTATACATCTTTATTATTTATTTTTAGCAATTTCAAATGGCAAAACTAAGCTAATCAACTAAGTATAGATAACAAACCAGCAATCTCTTTTATATTTCATTAAATTACCAAATATAAATTATAAATACTCTTTGACGTTGAGAAGTTCACTTAATCTCCCTTATTAATAAACAAGGAATAAGCTTGGACTAGTTAAGCCATGTTTTATTCATTTCACTCAAAAGCTATCTGTAAAATAAAGAACACAGACAAAACATGCAAGTACCTGATGCAAGCATATTCTTTGTTTATTAATAAGGGGTTAAAACTCTTTAAAACTGTATCTCTCTCGGCTAACACTAAACTAGTCAACTACCAGGTTAATTTTAAAATATTTAATAATATCAATTAAATATAAAACTTTATATTAAAAACTCACTTTAGCCTCCTCAGGAGTAATACGGTGAATAGTAAATCTGCCTTTGACATCATATATAAGACGGAACAGCTCATTTGTCTTTTCAATGGAAACAACATCTAAAAAAAGAAAAAAATGGTTATTATAACACAGGTCTGCAACAAAAATGCTGGATGTTTTCAACTGATTTATATGTATATGTGAAAACCAAAAAAGTAATTGAAAAAATCCAGAATGTTAGGTTATGTTGCAAAATGCAAAATTTTATTATAAAAATGGTATTTTGGGCTAACTTGAAGGCATAAAAATAGGTAAAAAAATATTTTGAGTACAGTTTTTGAATGTGTGTGGGCCATTACCATTACTTTCCCGATAAAGAATGCTCTGTGTAAGCTAAATTAATATAACTCATATATTTTAGTAACCTGAAAGTGCATGTGCCAATAGTCTAGAAAGTTAATAGGTAAAATAATGTGTTAACTTGACAAAGTTTCATAGATCTTGGTTCAATATACTAGTGCAATATTGTCTGTAATGTGTGAATTTGCCTGACAGTTTCTGTTATATTTGTGATATAAATATATCAAATTTTCCAGACCTCTCAGAGGCAAAAGTTCAAAAAGGTGTTTTCATTGGACCAGATATTATGGCTTATCCACAATTCATCAAAACCATGACGAAACCTCAAAAATTATATAAAATAGGTACCTATATAGTAAAAAAATGTTCCATGACATAATTTGGCATAAAAAATACGCAAAAAAAACAGAACAGCTTTTAATTATTATTTTTTTGCAGACTTCAACGTACACACCCTGCATAACCTATTCCAGTAATATTACAAGTATTTTAATGTAAGATTGGTTTCAATTTTATTGTTTTTGTAGATTAATTATGTCCATGACAACAGAGTGAAATGGCTTATGCACAGCTACATCATCAGACACAAACGCAAATCTCCAAAGAGCGCCCATTCAAGTGGCTCTAAATGAATATGGCTTACCCATAAATCCAGCGGGATATGTGGGGTCTGTCCTGACTTTGCCGTCAACTTTGATAAGTCGCTGCTTTACAATCTTAAGCACTTCATTTCCGGTGAGCGCGTACTTGAGCCGGTTCCTGAGGAAGATCACCAGCGGCAGGCACTCGCGCAACTTGTGGGGGCCGGTCGACGGCCGCGGCGCGTACACGCCACCCAGTTTGTCCAACATCCATGCTTTAGGAGCGTTTAAACGCTTCAAATGCTTTTTAGGTCCTCGTGCCTACAAATCAACAGACACCGAATAACCAACAAAATATAACCTCATTTGTAGACATATACAACGTCAATTGCAATCATTTTGTACAACAATTTCAAAGTCAAATTAACCTTTCCTCAAGTTTTTAAAAGCTAAGCTTTATTCTAAAACATAGCAATGAATATGTTTTGGTATAAATAAGTATTCCAAGTAGATAATGTAAGTGGTAATTTTACTGTCACCAAAAAGATTCATTGGAAATCATACTCAGAGTATATATTATAAAAAATAAAGCAAACGACGAAATAGTCACATTTCCAAAATATTCACTTGACTTTGCGATTATTTCGGATTTTCCATCATACACTTTTACTAAAACTCACCATGTTGGACACAAATTTTTAACAAGAAAGAACTGTCAAATTCGAAAGCCTCGTACTGAAAGCTAACGTCAAAGCATTTTTTTTTAATCTATTAAAGTAAGGCAAAAGGTATCATAATCATACAGCCTTTGCTTTTAAATGCAAGTGCAACGAACTCTATATAATAGTCACTACACAGTGTCCGCCATGCCACATGGAAAGAATGAAGAAATTAAGGGAAAGAAAACCTTTAACACTGAAAATACTGAATGAATAGTTTATTTTGTTCGTTTGACACGTGACTAATTTATCCATGAGCATTTGCAAATATTCATTAAGTGACGGAACACAATGATTTCAAAATTTGTTGAAGATGGATAATGAAACATTTTTGTTGCTATCGTGTGCACTCGCTCTGACGTTCCATAGCATATTGTATATGTTGCTTGACCAGCAACCCTCTAGACGATCAAGTATGCTTGACAAGCAATTGCAAAAGATTCATATGTGAGTGTGACGCGACCTGTGAATGATTACATTTGTTGAGGATGGAACCCCTCGACCTCACTTCATACACACCGTGGAACGTTGAACCAACTCGTGACTTGTGACATGCCATTACGTCACATAAAGTGACTCGTGACATGACGTCACACTTCTTAGATTAATAAGATGGTATCACGTCAAAAATATTCGCATCGCAGAACATTATTCATAAGTTCATTTTATTCTATCTTTTTAGTCAGCAAATTCTTGCAATGGTGTCGATTCTGGCATGATTCTCTAACCCTAAACTCAAATTTGACAACAGTGTAGCCTTGTCTTTTCTTATACAGAATGAAAATGAGAGGCTGATGTTATTTAAGTTTAGAGAATTATACCAGAATCGATACCTGTGACCCTGTGTGCTGCATTCAGCTGTTTTCTGTTGATCGAGAGCGGTAAAAGAAAGAATTAAAAACTCGGAATTATCATTTCGTAGTCGTTGTAGTCATGTCTTAGCAAACATTTGTGAACATATACTGGTATTTTTATATTTGGATTCTATTGAGTTTATGTCACAAAGTTTCACGGCCCAATTGTACTAAATTCTCAAATACACCAATAAAATTGTTTACCAAATTCTAATTGAATAGAAAAATATTATATTTTAGAGCTGTACTCTTATTGTTTACAAAGTTTTATCGATAACAGTACACAGTGTATTATGAAACCCATTTTTCGGACGTCTGCTTTTTATTACAAAATCCTGAAGTTTCAATCATTTAAAACGCTAGAGTAGCACTCCAGAGTTTCAAAAACGCTTAGTTTTGGAAAAAAAATATTTGAAAATCTGATTTTTTTTGCGGATATTTTTTTAGAAAAATACCTTCTCCCTAAAGCAAACATATTTTAAATATATGTCATAAGTTATATGAAAGCACTTTCAAAGCTTCATCTTTAAGAGCTATTGGTGTCGATTCTAGCATGAATCTCTAAACCTAAACTTAAATTTGACAGCAGTATATCCTTATCATTCTCTATACAGAATAAAAAGGAGAGACTGATGTTAAATTTAGTTTTAAGTTTAGAGAATCACGCCAGAATTGGGCCCATTAGCGACCTCGTAACTGCCATAGAAAAGGAGAAATTATTATTTTTCAGTTTTTCGTTTTTATTTTATTTTTCAGATAATCCACCGTATTTGGAAAAGTTATCCAGATGAAAATGAAGGTCCTAAATCCTTCTACCTACCACTAAAAAATCACATCCAAATTGCGTGGAGTTTAGAATCTGTGTTCAATTAAATATTTCGATCAGGGTTGTTACTTTTTTGAATTTTCAATATCCGGAATTTTATCTAAGGTGGGTGGGTGGTTTAAGTCCCACGTGTGGTGTGTAATATAACAAGAAACTATATAATGTTGAAAATACATAATATCATTTAGTTTTAATAAATTATGCAATATGTGAAATGAAAATTCTATTATGTACCTAAATTTATTTCAAACACAATTTATAAAAGGTACTTGGAGAAGAAAAAATGTACAAATTCCATTGAAAATTGATGGGAAACTACAAACCCTACATTGCGCGTGGTCCGACGTCCGTGCGATTAAAAACAAATTACACGGGCGAAGCCGCGGGTAACAGCTAGCATTTAAATTATATTACATACCCTATGATTATACCCTAATATTCCGGATATTTTTGAATTTGTGAATAGTGTCAACCCTAATGAAAAAAAACCCGGTTATTTACAAAACAGGCTGTATCATATAGACTCCACGCAATTTGGACGTGATTTGTTTGTGGTAGGTAGAAGGATTTGGGACCTTCATTTTTATTTGGATAACTTTTCCAAATACGGTGTATTATCTGAATAATAAAATAAAAACGAAAAACTGAAAAAAAGTTATTATACCTGTTCTAAGTTAGCCACAAGGGCGCTAATAGCTCTTAAAGATGAAGCTTGTAAAATGCTTTCTAATAACATTTGTCATATATTCAAAATATATTTGCTTTAAGAGAAGGAATTTTTCTAAAAAAATAACCGGGAAATAAAACCAAATTTTCAAAGAATTTTTTTTCAAAACTAAGCGTTTTTGCCACTCTGGAGCATTTTAAATGATTGAAACTTCAGGATTTTTTAATAAAAAGCAGACGTCCGAAAAATGGGTTTCATAATACACTGTGCAGTATAAACAGTAGTATATTTTTATAGCATTTATCTACTAGATGTTTAAATCTATTTTTTTTTGTTTTATATGTATAAACAATTTGTTTTAGTTTCCCAAGATACTGATATGAGATGTTAGCAAAAGAGTAAACACTACGAAGTACCATAGTTCCAATACACCAAATGGAGAAGTTAATTAAACTAAAAAGATTTTTTTTTAAAACTAGCGCTGTGATCCTGAGAATACTGACCAAATTTTGAAAAAATAAACCTGTCTTTTACGAATTACCTTTAAAAACTGAGCTTAACTGACTTCTTTCCACTCCTGCGAGTTACACGTTTATAGAAGGTATCAAGCAAGTTTATTATTTTAGGTATTACTGTTCATATTTGAGATAGTTTATTTGTTTTACGTTTACGTTATATGACTTAAAAAAACAACAAACACCATACCATTTTTATATGTCGAAGTCAGATATCTAACTGTTATCAGTTTATTTTATAATAATAACCATATTTTACGGATAGCGAACCAAAAAGGTTAATTAACGGTAGCTAACGGTTTTTTTATAACTATGTCTTGTTTTTGTATGTTTAATAGATATTCAAAGGTATAGTATGTCCACGAGTTTTTGTTTGATTCAAACGTTGTGGATATACCAAAGGGATATACTGAATACTTAAGTTGACTGTGGCCGAAGGTCATTGTAAGGTTAGATATGTCAAAAATAATCAAAACACAAGTCATTTGGTTGCGGTGTGAATAGTTGTAAAGTCATAATTTACAACCAAATCTTTTATATTATGCTGGTGAAGTCACTAAATTAACTTAAAAAGGTAAGCTTATGACTTTTTACATCAACTTATAATATCCAAATATATAATTTACAAATATTAAAGTACTTACTAAATACAAACATGTAGCAGTTAAATGCTTAAAAACTAAAAATATAACTTTTTATAATTGAAGGTACTTCGATTAGTACAATTAATTTATCATTAATCTACAATTATTAGCACTTGTTTTATAAAAAAAAATATAATGTTTATTATAATTTCTAGCCGATTTACTTAAACTTATTTATAATTAAACTGATATTACATATATTTATAATTTAACAAATATTTAGACCTAAAATATTTAAAGCTATTTTTTTTGAAACATAACATTATTTTCATAAATATAGTATCCTTTACCCTTGAACAAATAAGTCATTATTTCTGATTATCATGTGAATAAATGCACACCTAGGTTTTGAACCCAGTACCTTTAATAGATAGCACAAGCGCTATTGTTGCACCGACTGGTCATCAGTTTCTCAGTACCTCAAAATTTAAGGTTTAATAAATTCTGTCCTCCAAACCTATTTTAATTGAGCCTTTTTTAATTTAAAGTTAAAAATGTAGGCTAAAATGTACAATACAGCTGCAACATTATTAAATTTGAAGGAAGTTTTCTCAAGGTAAGCAATCTCATATAAGTTTTATTTGAATTAATGCAAGAACTAAAAATCATGCAATTTTTGAAGTGAAACTTCTTTATCAGGGTTGGAAAAAAATTTACCGTCACATTTTTCGGTTACGCGTCACATTTTTCCGTTACGCGCCATCTTTTTTTATATTAATAGTTGATAGATTATATTAATAGTCGATACTCGCTCAGCGATACTCGCTCAGCGATACTCGCTCAGCGGTACTCGCTCAGCGATACTCGCTCAGCGGTACTCGCTCAGCGATACTCGCTCAGCGGTACTCGCTCAGCGATACTCGCTCAGCGATACTCGCTCAGCGATACTCGCTCAGCGATTCTCGCTCAGCGATACTCGCTCAGCGATACTAGCTCAGCGATACTCGCTCAGCTATACTCGCTCGGTTAAGCTGGCTTGGCTGTCAAAAGCCGTGCGCGTGCATTTTAACTCAGGACTGCCAATTCGTTTCTAGTTTCTACTCGCTTATCGTTCATCGTCGGAGGTGGAACATGTGCCTTAGATTACTGAGCCGTGTAATCATAACAGTTTCATAGGCAGTAATTTGTATTCATGTCTATGATAATAAAATCCTTTTGTTTTTATCTACTACTTACTTTATCTAATTTAACTTTATTTAACCAATTTCTGGAAAGTTGCATGTAGATCATTCTTCGAAAAATAAGGCCATAAAGAAGTTTCACTTCTTACGTGTGTACACTAGTACACGCACACATTTTTTTTATATTTCTTAAGATGACTTATAAATTTTTTGGCACAACACTGAACCTTGAACTAACTAGGTCATGGAATTTCTGTACCAAATTAGTAGTATGTAGTTTGTGTTATCCGTTCCTGGCCTAGTTGCTTAGAAAATGTGTGCCTGTCTTGTATTTTTAGTTAAGAAATTTTTACAAGTACTCATAGTGCAACAAAGAGGCCACCCGGAAGAGAGTAGCCATAGTGATATATGTTAGCACGGGCGGGGGGCCACTGGTCAGTTTATATTTTTGTATACTTATATGACATGCATAACTTGACAGAGATGAAAGGTTTAGATAGCTAGGGTTATAAGATATTAAAAAAACCTGGAAAGTAGGCTGATTTTTCCTTAAAGAAAAGGTAATAAAAAAATGAGCCATTGCGGGACAGGCAGATGTGAAACATCAATACTTATTTTTCTTTGGCATAATCTGGCACCAATACTTTGACAGATTTTTAAAACATGTACAAGTGTATGATTGAATAATTTTAAAATATCCAAACAAAATATACATTTAGTTAATCTACAATCTGAAGAGATCTGATTTTAACTGACATTATTATATTCAAGTTGAATTGATTCATGTTCTGATAAAACCTTATTTTGTACACAAAGTAAAATTGTATGGTGTAAAAGCTATGTGAGTGCATGAAGCAGAAGCCTGTGTAGGCTTTGAAGGTACTCCTTGTTTAGTGTTCATGATAATGTTTATTAAATATTTTTACTAATATTCCATATTCTGTATTTTATCATTTCAGTTAATGATCTATAACAATCAAATTATTTATATAAAAGACAGCTTTTTGATGCTACAAATTTTGATGAATCTTTGTTTAAGATACTAATTAACTCATAAAATTATCTAGTATATCTTTTCACATATCAAGAGTACATAGGTATATAATTTTGAAATAAAGTGACTTAGTAAATAATGTTAACAATCCTATTTATTATTATTACCAAGAAAAAATCTTTTTCATATGCTTTCGTAAAATTAATAAACACTTATAACTGATCAAAAAATTCATCAACAAGGTACACATTCATCAACAAGGTACATGGTAACAATCCCGTTATTAGCTATAACGTAAGTGACCATGAAAGTTTAAAACAATATATTTGTCACTAGAGCTATATTTAAATCTTATTACATATTAATTTTTTGAGCACAAGATTGATGGTCTAGAATTTGTGCTTTATATGTAAGAATGTGACACATTCTTTTTACTCATATTGATGATCTAGAATCTAGCGCTTTACCTGTATAAACATGACACATTCTTTTTACTTGCTATGCTACATTTTTTAAATATTAATCTTGGTTTGCTTCTTAGCCTTGACCTAAAGTTATTTATTACAAACAAATAACAACATATTATTGCTGTTTTAATTGATTGATGTTTTTGATAAATTTTATTTAAGTGCCTGATGCACACTTAATGATATGATAGCAATGGTGTCGATTCTGACATGATTCTCTAAACCTAAACTTAAATTTGACAACAGTGTATCCTTCTCTTTCTCTATACAGAATGAAAAGGAGAGACTGATGTTAAATTTAGAGAATCATGCCAGAATCTACACCAATGTCATGCTAAAAACTTATGTTCAACCTGATATTCTGGGCCTTACTTGCTTGTTGGAAAATGATCTAGTCGAGGGTGCTTCCCAGACCTAGATTGCTAAAAATTATATCAGTGGATGTCTCTAATCTACTGATTGTTAATAAATCAATAAACATTTCAATGTTTTAATTTACAAGAAATTCTCAATTAATTAATATGATATTATGTTTTATCATGTCATACTAACATTCTCTTTATAAAATGATACTTAAAACAAGAAATGATAGTATTGATACTATAAGTAGGATATTCCCACAATGCTATAGTGTAGTAGTTGATACTTTAATGCTAAATCATTTGCTTTAATGTGATATATAAAAAATCAACAAATAATTATAGTTTAGTGATATGATGTTAAGTGTTTGATAACTTAATGATATTCACAATAATATTCTTCTAAGACGATACAAGAACAAGAAATTATCGTTGACTCGTATGATATAGCCATTGCTGTACTGCTAATGATAGAATCCTCGTCGCGTATGCGTTGCTGATTGATTCCTGTGCAAGTTGATGAAGTTGTTGCGGTTTGATATCACCTGACGATGTAGACGGTGATACGCATGCTGCTTCTAAAATGACACGAACGCACCGAATTATGATAATGCTGTGCCTGCTGCTGCTGACTGATAAAACCTCCTGTGAAGTATTGCGATGACTTGCGCTCCATGTCGTGTCTTCACGGAGTAATCTAGTGTCCTTACTTCCTGATATTTTTCGACGTTCGTGTAAAACCATGATTGTATGTGATAAGCTAAAATGATAAATGCTAGCTGTTATAAAACTGCTTTCCTTTATGTATTTGCATCACAGTATACCTATGCGACTTCTCTATTCAGCCAGTGAGAGAGAACCGATTGTGGGAGGACGTGTGAATCGATTCGCCACTGTCAAAAATATTCCGTGATATAAAATAATAATAGGATAAGTACCTTAGTATTGACGATGTCTATGACCAGGTTACACAGGAATCACCACTGTCGCGAATTGATATCGCTTTTCAAAGCTCGGAAGATCGTAAATATTAAGTGGTTCAATATTTTGATGACTCGAAGGACCATTATGTAGGATAGGAGTAACTACATATTAGGATGAAGGAAGAAAACCAACTGATTTTGATGAATGCGTGATGAGCATTGATTTATTATGAAAATATATGTTTTATATACCTGCCTAATACATTGACGTAATATGATGCATTTGTTATTGACACAAAGTTATAGAGTACTTACGTGACTCTTACACCATAAAAAGATTCATAGGTATATGCCGTTTTATAAAATTTTGTTTCCAATAAATTGAAAAATTACTTTTAAAAATTTCTTGGTGTTCACCTGGTCCCAAGTATCTATCTACTTAAAATTTTATTAGTTCCTCCACTCTTGTCATATTTATTCGTCGTTGATGGGAACTCATTGAAGACAATTTAACTATGTTAATATTTCATTAATATAGACCGAAGGCCTAAAACATAACAATCTTTTTGTATATGTGTGAGGTATTTCTATTTTGGTGCATCTATGAAGACTCCGTTTGTTTCCACCACTTTCAGACTGGTATTATTCAGCTGGTATCAGATGCACTTGACTGGCTGGACTCAATAGAGTAACACTGTCATGTTTTGCACAGGGGGGGGGGGGGGGAGATTATGCACACAAACGGCCAGTTTAACGGCCGTTAAAATATGTTCTGTATCTCGTTTGTCGATATTTCAACGCATGTGGTAAAAGAACTAAACCACAAACTACACTCAATGACATATTCAGAGGAAAGCAAAAAAGATTTAGAGGAATCATAATCACAGTACATTATTTGAAAAAGTCTTTTTTATCTTCATCCCATTTTCAAAATTGCCCGTACCCATCTGGGCAGTATTTTTTTAAGACTCTTCCATGTAAGTTACACTGACCGTATCTTTTTTTGTCTCCATGCCTTGCTTTACCCTTTCTCATCATACCAGCGCTGTTATGGTGGGAATATTCGTTCCCACGATAACAGCATTAAGCTGAGGCAGGGTCCTGTTTGGCCATGCTTCTTTCTCTTTTGTATTTCTCTGTATTGTTTAATTTTATTGTTTTTGCTAACAGTAAATCTGTCTGCTCTTTTCCGTTGTTATTATTTTTAATTTTCTCCCCTTATTCTTGTTACTCTTCAGTAACGATACCGGCATGTTTATCATTGCGAAAAATCCATTATGGAAAAAAAACAGAATTTGTCACTTGTGATGTTTCAATCACTTCAGTGTGAGTTGAACTTTTTCAAGCCTCTTTAGAAGGAAATCAAGCTATATTCTTTTGAGAATACATATACGTCAATTCAATTTAATTCTCTATTGCATATCGTAAGGAAAAGCCTCTTAAAAACGTGCAGACCAACTTATGATAAACTAATGGTAAATTCTCACGGTATGGCGAGCCATACGAATACTGTAAAGTATGGCCAGTACGGAATAAAAACTTAATATTCTGCTTGTTTGTTTCTCTAAATATATCCATGAGCGTATATTTTTCAAGTTTGGTGGGAGTCATTGGCTATCAATCTTGACATCGCATAAGACGAAGCGAAGTAGGCATTTCTCTGAACTTCTGACATAGGTACAGTCTGCCTGTCTCCCACATTTATGGCCTTGTAGCCTAAGGTTGTAGCGGACTTCAATTCATGTTAGTGAATTCCGGTGCACTCCTTTCTTCTTTCACCTTTCTCTCGATCTCTCTGCACATTTTTGTTGCATATTAATAACATAATTTCTTTTGGAAATATTTATCCCAACAACCTTGTGCATAAATAGGTAAAGCAGGTGTAGCAATGTCTTACAAGAAGATATTTAACTTCGTGAACATTGTGGTGCCTATTACTGATAAGTCAAGTAATGAAACCTCTTTGTTCGACTTTCTTTAATAATGCGATTTGTTATCGACCATGACCAAAGAATGCTTTATGTAAGCGTACCTACTGTCTCTATAACATAATACACTTAAACGAAATATACAATATTTGGATAAATGTTAAATACTCAACTCGTTTTGAATAGCTTGGCACATGGAAAAACTATCGATGAGTTGGTAGTTTTAGTATAATATGTACTGAAAGTCCGGCCTCAACATGAACACTCAACAGGTACGAAAAAATGTAGCGATTGGGAGCACCCACAGTATTTTATCAGTTTCGTGCTAAGATACAAATGTTTAGCCAAAGCTCCAACATAGTATTCGAAGCTGATTAAATTAATAGGACAGAAATGTTATCGGTCATCGAACGGTATAGTTATTTCCTGAAAACTTAGTTGTTTATTAAAAGTTTTTTTTAGTGTTTTTTTTGTTTGGATTTAGAAATCAAGCAGTTTGATGCTTAAAAAAATATAATAAATTAATAGTTAAGTTCAGCGAGGCCCCTGCTTTTGATATTACATGTGTGTTTTGGTAATGTAGGATATGCGACAGTTAGTGACAAATACCATGAAGAAGACACTAGAATTCATTCGCTTTACTTCAATTTACACAAATATCTGCAGGCATTAGAATTCATCAATCTGTCTATTCCGGCTAATGGGAAGATACTGCTGATGTCGTAGGTTTAAAATTAATGTTGTCATGAAATAGGCAGTTTATTTTCTCTATGCTTACTGCTGCCGTATTGCATAGTGCGTTTATGAATCATTTTGCGTATTTTTTACTGCTTAATGCAATAATACTACTTAGTATCTCTGGATCTATCTGTTTTGCCATTAACATAATGTTTGTAACATAGTCTTGTTGTGTTTTCTTAAGAATATTTCCTATTTTTAGTTACTTAATGTAGATTAGAGGTAGAGGTAGATAGATTAAGTGATACATGGAATATAATATATCAGAAGGATGTTTTGCTGCCTAGCGAGACTGTTATCGGGACAAAATGATGAGGTACGACTTATTCTTACTACGACACGTTTTACTTTTATGCTAATCTAAATAATAATGCAAAATCTTCAATCAAATGTAAATAAATGTACTTATAGCAAAAATCTCGTAAGGAGCGGCAATATTAAAGTGTTACCCTTCATTTGCTTTATATAAATAAAAATATTGTTAAGTAATTATAAAGACATTGCGACGGAGCAATTTTGAGAGTGGTCAAGTGAGTACCATGAGACGAGTGTTAGGGACCAGCCTGGCGTCACGGTGGATAGGTGTCTTCAAAAGGTTGTAACTGAATCCCCGCATGTTGATGGGCGGCCTACAGGGTTGGTGCTTCTACAGTAAATTTAACCTTAAACACGTAAAAAAAGATTCAAATTTCTTTTTTCATCCCGTTTTCTTCACTATTTAGGTAATGGCTTGGTGACTTCAGAATAGTGACTGTGTTTATTGTATGAAACCAGCAAATTTTTAGTATTTAGTGCTGGAGTCTTAAATTTGAATTAGTATTTAAAATACTACTCATTAAAAAGTCTTGATCATCATCAGCCCAATATGTCTTCATATGGTTGATTGGTAGATAGATTTTAACCACTGGATATGCATCTGAGATCAACGGTTTCACGTGCCTTTTAAAGTACGGTGGAACTCGAGATAATAATTTTTTGGGCATCTATCCATTGCCCAAAGTCGCTGAACGTACGTACGAACGTCGCGATGACGACGCAAAACGAATGCTCCTGCCACTGCGTCGTCGTTGTCCTCCATGTCCTTCTGCCTTTAAGCGAAGTCCTAAAGTTAGCAAATTTATTTTAGGTACAACTTACCAAGCAGTGGGAATGTGGTGAGAGTGAGAGCATCTTGTTAGCTCCCTCACACTTGTGGTGATTACATTTGTGGTTTGACGTTTTCACTTTTTGGCGAAGAGGAATTTATTTAAATTTAAGTGGATAACAATTTCTTTTTATTGTAGCTTTGAAGTATAATATTCAAAATCGCAAATTTTGCCCCATTAAATGACAGCAGGCCCTACTCCTACAAACGAACGAAGGCAGCCCTAAGGCTTCAGGAGAAGCTACCGGCACGGTTCCGGTCCGCGCCCGCGTGGTTTATTTAAGCGGGTGCGAGCTCGCGCCAGCGTTTATTATACCGAACGTGCTGTTCTATGGGTACTCGCAAACGGTGACTATTCCACATGCCAACCATGGTGACTCGCGAGAAGGCCGACTACGGGCGGAAGGTGCAAGAGAAGGCCGTCATGGAAAAGGTGGCCCGCTGATAACATTCGAATCGTAGGGTCCGCGAGCGATGGAAGGGGTGACGAGAGCGATCGGGTGGGTGGTGGAGGCGGCGGTGATCCTGGTAGTGAGGCTGGTGGTCCCGGTCGCTCGTCGTCGCCGCTGCGGTGTTGGTGTTGGTGTTGGTGTTGGTGGTCTGACGCGCGCGTTGTGTTCGCAGAGACAGATGGCGATCGACCGCTGCGTGGCCGAGGCCGGCCGCCCGCCCGTCACGCCCGCGCCCGCGCCCGCCCCGGCCCCGGCCTCCGCGCCGCCGGCCTCCGAGCCGCAAGTATGCATCATCACGCTCGAGCACGCGGAGCATCATGACTCCACTCTCTACCGGTACCCAAATATATATTTTTCTTACAACTACTATAAAATTATTTACTATGCTAGTATAGTTAATTACATTAAGACCTCAACTCCAGTTTTCGAGACTTTCGAGACATAGTTAAATAATCTTCAAAAAATACGAATCTACTAAATTACCGTTCTTTTTTTAATTCGGTTACATGGAAACATTGTAAAGTGAAAGTTAGCATAATCTTTAGAGATTGCAACCTAACCTCAAACACGATACGTTCACAACTTCACATAATGTTTCTTTATAAAAAGTTTGAAATGATTTTAACGATATCTCCATTGCGGAGCTCACCAGTTTAACTGCTAAAGAACAGCTACCGTGTGAGCTTGAAAACTTGCTGAATCCTCAAAAATTAGAAAAATAAACTAGCATCCATGTCTTGCAAACGACTATGCATGTAGAAAAAGCTCTCTTTGAGAATGGTGACGACAGAGGTAAGCATTTAAATCAGTGCTATAATTATTTGTTTTCCATCCCCCCTACTAGCGTCGAAGTAGAGAGAACTTTTTCTAATTCAGGTTACTTTTGCAACAATGAAAACACTTTGAATGCCCTTTGCTTTCTGCGTGCCTATTATAAAAATAAATAATGTTAATTTTACTTATATTTGATTATGTTGTAATAGTTGATTATTAAAGTACTTATGAAACATATTGCATTAATTGCCTAATTGTATAAACCTTGAGTATGAAACTTATTTTCAAAGTCTTGAAAGTCTCGTTTTTCCTTATTTAGGTTTTATTTTATTTTAATATAAATACAAGTGGCCCATCATTGTTTGTCCCCACATTGGTAAAGTATAATATAGCTACTAGCTAGTTGCTAGTCATAATATAGCTACTAGCTTGTTGCTAACGTCTCGCAATTATGTCTTATCCTCTCGTTTCTGCTCTCGGTAGAATTAAACGAGCAATAAAAACGTAACCTCCACCACTAGTCGGTTTTTTATCGTTTTAAACATGTCGCTTATTTTGCAGACTAGAAAAAGGCTGCTATTTACAATTTAATCCGGGTACTAGTCTACTCGGTCGGAAGGTGTTCCTGTATACAAACTACGTGGTGACCGATAGCGGTGAGTGAAATATCATGCACGAGAAGTATAGTGCGATTCAAATTTTATGGCGGTTGTGATTTTACATAATAATAAATTTTGCGGCTTATTTTAGCAGCGTGCGTCTGTTTCATTGCTTGTGGCACCTACACCATCATTCGCTTACCTACAGCGCAGTGACTTGCGCGAACTTCACACCTGGCCAGGGTCGTTTCTGGCTCATGTAGCACCCGTGTGCAATAAATTACCCTAGCGTCCTCTAGTAAGCGTGCAATCATAATAAGTGGTGGCGAGTGGCGCTCGGTGCCCCACTACGACTACTGCGCCCGTGTGTAAGGTAAGCACACCCTGCACCATAAGTAATGCCTACGCATCTGCCATTATGCTGCCAGGGGCCCAACGGGGCCCACGCAACATCTTTCGGGGCCCAAGCGGTGCATCCTGCTATATAACAGACGAGCCCAGTGTGGTGGGTTATGGTCCAAACCCTCCTACATGATAAGCACAACATTGTCCCGGCCCCCAGTTCCCGGGAGCCGTGCTATTCCAGCCCAAGGCGGCGGTCTCGGTTACGGGTGCTAAGAATCTCCGAGCTACGGTAGGCCGCCAAAAAACACTAAACTTGAAGACATATAAACGGTCGCACGCTACGGCTCGACTTTCATCTAGCTCAAATGGAGGTGGAGCACGTAGGATGGCACGTGCTCGGGCTGAGCGAAGTCCGCAGTGAGGGCGAGGACACGCTGACCTTAGAGTCTGGCCATATTATGTACTTCAGAGAGGGAGATAATCCGGCACAGGGCGGCGTCGGGTTCCTGGTCAACAAAGTCCTCACTGACAACGTTATTGAAGTCTCCAGTGTGTCGGCGAGGGTTGCGTACCTCATTATAAAATTAACCAGAAGGTATAGCCTAAAGGTTATACAAATGTACGCTCCAACGTTGACAGACTCGGATGATGTCGTGAAAGAGATGTACGAGGATCTCTCGAGCCTTACAGACCACTACCAAGGCTCACTTTGACGTTGTTATGGGGGACTTCAACGCTAAAGTAGGAGTACAGACCTGCAGCGAATCGATGTTAGGATCATACGGCTATGGGAGTAGGAATCATAGGAAGCAAATGCTCGTCAATTTCTTAGAATGCGAGGGGCTTTTCTTTATGAATTCGTTCTTTAAGAAACAGCACCAGAGGACATGGACATGCCGGAGCCCCGATACTATGACCAAGAATGAGATTGACTTCATCATATCGGACAAGAAGCGCATATTCAGAGTTGTCTTAGTGATCACTAGGTTTAAAACCGAAAGTGATCACTGACTTCTAAGAGGCACTCTGAATATCGAAGTTCGAACGTTCTCGATTGATGAAGTCCACGCTTCGGCCAAATCTGCTCCAATCGGCCGTTGGTTCTGACGCATTCCACTGAAAGTGGAAAATCGATTCGCTGCCTTGGAAACCACAATTGACGTTGACATCGACAAGGAGCTCGACCAAGTGGTAGAAATCCTTCGAGACGAGGGAGCCAAATTCTGTGAGCTGCGGCGTACGGGCAAGCGGTCTAAGCTTTCGACAGAGATTTTGGATCAAATGGACAAGCGGCGAAACGATCCACTAGTCACTTCGTCAGAACAACGGGCTTTGAATAAGTCCATCTCCAAGCTGATAAGGCGTGACCTCCGACGCTCTTCAATACACTCTTGATACAAAAAGCAATTGAGCAGAACCGGAGGTCCAAAGTCTTCGTACAACAGCTTGAAAGGAGACACCTGACGAAGTTGACCAAAACAAATGGAGAAGTCGTCACGTCGAAACCGGAAATTCTTTCGGAAGTTTATACTTACTATAGCCAGTTATACGCGTCGCACTCGCCCCACCCTACGTCGGATGAGAGAGATTCAAGAGCCACATTAACCTGCCGCATCCTGGAGCATCTCCCCGTCATCGACTTAGAGGAGATCGAGGTCGCTCTTGGGCAACTTAAAAATGGAATAGCCCCGGGGGAGGACGGAGTCACAACCGAGCTTCTGAATAGTTGCTGTTAATGGAGTACCTCTCAAGGTTGTTGTACATAATCCTATGTCTATCTAGGGCAAACGCTCCGATTAGGCAGAAACAACTTCGAGAGAGAAGTCAATAGAAGAATTCAGTTGGGCTGGGCAGCATTTCGTAAGTTACGTCAAGTCTTCTCGTCACCCATCCCTCAATGTCTCAAGTCGAAAGTCTTCGACCAGTACGTCCTCCCAGTTATAACATACGGCGCCGAGACGTGGACATTTACGGCTGGACGAGTCCACCAGTTTAAAGTCGCTCAGAGAGCTATGGAAAGGGTTATTTTATTTATTTTATTTTATTCGGAAAACGTACAGTGTTTTTTTAACAGCAATTATAACTAAATGTAAGTCTAGACACCATTAACACGTTTTCGCATATGACTAACAATACAAAGCTCGTCGCTGAAACCATACAAGCAGTGCCAAGTGAAAAATACAGGAAAGTAATAAGACTAGAGATAATTGAGATATAACAGCAAGCGACGCTTAAAGCATGCATTAATTAAGCTAGGCAGTTTGAGAATCAGCAAACCAAGAACTGACTAAGATATTTTTAAGTATTTGTGGTTTAGTTATAAATAAGTCAAGTTGGGGGAAACTTACTAATTTGTTAGTTTCTTTAGCAGACCTTACGAAAAAAGAGTTTTGTCTGTAATTAGTACCACATTGGGGAACATCTAAATGTACAAATCGCCTTACGGTTTTGTTAGGGATTTATATACCTATTTTTGTTAGTGCGTCCGGCGAGTCAATGAGACTTTGAGCGATTTTTGCCAGTAGAAATACATCTGCTATTTTTCTTCGCTCATTCAGGAGCAGGATGTGATGTCTACGACACCTTTCCTCGTAGCTAGAGTCATAAGTCCTACTTTTGTATTGTAAATACCTTAAGAATCTTCGCTGAACAGATTCAAGTCGGATAATGTGAGCGCTATAACAGGGGTTCCAAACTTGAGAACCGTACTCGAGGATACTTCGCACCAAAGAACAGTATAAAATTTTCAGCACTTTAATGTTTCTGAATTCTGAACAAACTCTAATCACAAACCCCAAGGATTTTCTAGCCTTTTTAGTTATAAGGTCTATATGTTTCTCATATGTTAATTTCGAATCATGTAAAATACCCAGATCTCGAATCTCATCAACTTCCGCCAGTTCACTCCCTTTCAAAACATATTTATTGCGGAATGGCTTCCGTTTACGAGTGAAGGTTATGAGGTTACATTTAGATATGTTCAGATCTAATTTATTTAAAGAACAATATAACTCAAACCTATTTAAATCTTCCTGGAGTAACTGGCAGTCTTTTTGACAATCGATTCTTTTAAACACTTTCATGTCATCTGCGTATAATAGAAATTTTGAATTTTTGAAACAATAAAAAACATCGTTAATGAATATATTAAAAAGCAAAGGTCCAAGTAAAGATCCCTGGGGTACACCTGAGGGAACATGAGTCCAGGTAGAAGAGAAACCGTTCAGAAGTGTCGCTTGGGAGCAATTTTTTATATATGACGTAAACCATCTAAAGAGGCTACCATGGATTCCTGCGAGAAGGAGCTTACGAAGCAAAATTAAGTGGTCAATCCGGTCAAACGCTTTGCTAAAGTCGGTGAAAATTGCGTCAACTTGCCCTCCAGAGTCCATGTTAGTAGTAGTAAAGTCTACGAATGAGAGAAGATTGGAATTTATTGGATTATGCACGGAGTATCCCTGAAGGACCGCATCAGAAATGATGTAATCCGACAGAGAACCAAATTCACCGACATATCCCATCGAATAAGCAAACTGAAGTGGAAGTGGGCTGGTCACATTAGCCGCAGAACTGACGGCCGTTGGAGCCGGATTCAGTCGGAAAGTTCTTGAGTGGAGACCACGACTCGGTAAACGTAGTGTAGGACGCTCTGAGATAAGATAGGATAATGACATTCGTAGGCTGGCTGGAGTGGGCTGGATGAGAGTGGCAGAAAATCGGGTGCAGTGGCGTGCATTGGGGGAGACCTATGTCTAACAGTGGACGAGCATGGGTTGATGATAATCTGCCATTAAGTTTGAATCGCATTCTATCTTATATAATTATATTTTATGAACAGCTTAAAAGGTACATGTGGTGTAATGTCGGTGGTAGATAAGAGCGGAGAGGCGGAGTTCGTTCGTAACCAGTACTATGGTCTGGAGTGGCAGCAGGGCGCGTGTGAGGACTGGGAGACGCAGGCGCAGGCGCAGGGGCGGGAGGCGGGGGAAAAGGTGGGCTGCGGCGTGCTCGTCACCGACGCCGACCTGTACTGCCGGCTGCTGCTGCAGCGCGCCGGCTGCTACCACTACTACTTCGTGTACGACACTCCGTGAGTAGGCTCCTTCTTTTATTACATTGATCGCTTTCACGCTGCTAAACCAAATGTGTTGAAATCGATTTCAAAAAAATGGTGTTACACATATTCGGAAGTTATTGCTTTAAATTCGATGATTTCCTGGTTTATTCACAAGAGGAGTAGATATTTTTACATCGAATAGACCAATGATGCCCATTTTATTGTTACGATAGCGAGTTGTTTTCGTGTCGCACAGGGAGTCGAGCATCGGTCCGCAGGGATCGGGGTGGTTCCAGGTGGCTCCGACGCTGCGTGTGGGCAGAGACGAGCGGATTCCGTTGGACGGCGTGACCAGTCTCACCGTTCTGGCCAAGTGTCTGGGCCCCCTGCCGCGCTGGGAGAGCGCCCTGCGGCCCGCGCGCGAGGCCGGCTACAACCTCGTGCACTTGACGCCCGTCCAGGTACCGGCCCGCCCCCCGCCCCCCGCCCCCCCCCTGCCGAGTGTCTGGGCCCCCTGCCGCGCTGGGAGAGCGCCCTGCGGCCCGCGCGCGAGGCCGGCTACAATCTCGTGCACTTGACGCCCGTCCAGGTACCGCCCCCCCCCCCCCCCCCCCCCGCCCCCCGTCCCCCGCCCCCCCCTGCCGAGTGTCTGGGCCCCCTGCCGCGCTGGGAGAGCGCCCTGCGGCCCGCGCGCGAGGCCGGCTACAATCTCGTGCACTTGACGCCCGTCCAGGTACCGTAAATTTTAGGTCAATCACCCGGCCACTGCGAAAGTTGCTTAACCTCAACTATCATCGCCGAACGCGCTAGACACTTGCGCCGTCGAGCTCGTCTTAAACCTCTTCCATCATTATAATATAATATAAAATATGGATATTGTATAGCGGTTTCTCTTCCAAATGAACACTCTTTTTCGATGTTTGACATAGTTGTCTGGGTATCATGATAAATAAGTCGATATTGTGTTTGGGCGCAGGAGCTGGGCGCCTCGCAATCGAGCTACAGCATCGCGAACCAGCTGCGGCTGAACCCGGCCTTCAGCGGCGACTCTTCCCGCGAGCCTACCTTCGCTGACGTCGAGAACCTCGTCGCCAAGATGCGCACCGAGTGGAAGGTACGGCAATATTGTTGCACGACACCTTCTAGCGGAAATTAAGTCAAAGGTTCCAAGAAAAATCCCCTAATAAAATTAGCTTCACCGTTTAATAGAATTAAAGATGCATACGACGAGATATGCCATGATGTTGACAAAAATCATCTGTATGGTAACGTTCAAACCGAACAGTAATTTGTTACTGTTAAAAGTATAAGTAAGTACCTACCTACATATAGTCAATGTTGTACATGCCTGCAATGACAATTCACACGGTTCCACACCTGCATCTTTAATCTTTATTGAATTTTGTGAAATTGTCGATGGTATGTCAATTAAATAAATAAATAAAATAAAATAAAGGTCACTATAGAATAGAATATATTCTATTAACCGTCATTTACAGATTTACAGATCAAAACTCAAAAATCTTAGGGCTAACCAGGTCCCTGCCTCAGCATTATCTGATGCGATATTGCGTCGCACCAGTGCTGTTATTATGGCAGGGCTTGTTTAGTGACACAAAAAGAAGACATGTTAATTTTTTTCAGACTTGAAAAGATGTATGTGCCTGGCATACTTTGCTTTCAAGTAACAATAAATAAAATAAATAAAAGTCTGTCAAAAAAAGCAAAAGACATAACAGCATAACAGCAAGCAAAGCAATGCCAAACAAAGCGAAGCTTTTCGTTTCATTTCAGCCCGAAAATACATTTAAACAACTACTATCACAGTCGGTATATCTGTTAGCGTCGCGAACCAGGTGCGGCTGAGCCCCGCCTTCTCAGCGCCGCTTCCTGTCGCGAGCTTGCCTTCGCCGACATTGAGAACTTCGTCGCTTGCAAAAGCCTAAATTGAATATTCAATTTCACACATCTACTATTACTGCTTATCCTACTAATACTAATATTATAAACGTGAAAGCTAGCATGTTTGTTACTCAATCACACAAAAATACATAGGGTACTTTTTTTTTCTGGAAAAGGTTCCTGGGGACTTAAAAAAAATAACACGGAAGAAGTCGCGCCGGTGGCCGCATGTTAAAAATATTTGTGCGTATAACATTTTATTTATGCGTATAACAATCAATTAGTAAAGTCCTTGTTTTATTGAAGGTTACTAGACGTTTTACAAAGTGAATGGAATTTTACACTGTACTTTACTTACTTTGGGTGTTCGTCAATCGAAAGTTATCGAAAGTGCGCATTTTTAACTGTATTTTCGTGTTGAGGAAAATTTCGATACACACAAAAATATAGCTGATTCGATTGTTAAGTTTATTCTTCTAACATTGGTATTTTAATCGGTGGTGTTTCATTATAGTATTCCTTTACTTCATTCCTCGTTGTGATATTGGTAATGCCGGCACTCGACATGAATATTCGTTTTTGCTATTCATCATTTCGATAGCAGGTTGTCCTTATTATACTCTATAGGGAGTGAATAGCAAAGACCGTCGTCAAATTTACAAATAGCCATGTGAAGTGCTGCATAACATAATCGTTACTGATCCAGGGATAATAGCCACAAACCCTTGTTCATGATTGGAAGTCATGCCTCTCGTTAACGGCTGTTGTTTTACCGCACACCGGACCGATCGGTGTAACATTTTAGTTTTATTTGGTGTGCCTGTGTGTCGCGCAGATGATGTCCATCTGCGACATCGTGCTGAACCACACCGCCAACGAGACCCCGTGGCTGGCCACGCAGCCCGAGGCCACCTACAACTGCAGCAACTGTCCGCACCTGCGGCCCGCGGCCCTGCTCGACGCCGGCCTCGCGCGCCTGTCCCGCGCCCTGGCCCGCGGGGACCACGCGGCCCGCCACCTCACCGCCACCTCGCGCGTCACCGAGAACCACCACCTGCTGGTGAGTGCTGTATCACACACAACTGTCCGCACCCAAGGCCCGCGGCCCTGCTCGACGCCGGCCTCGCGCGCCTGTCCCGCGCCCTGGCCCGCGGGGACCACGCGGCCCGCCACCTCACCGCCACCTCGCGCGTCACCGAGAACCACCACCTGCTGGTGAGTGCTGTATCACACACAACTGTCCGCACCTGCGGCCCGCGGCCCTGCTCGACGCCGGCCTCGCGCGCCTGTCCCGCGCCCTGGCCCGCGGGGACCACGCGGCCCGCCACCTCACCGCCACCTCGCGCGTCACCGAGAACCACCACCTGCTGGTGAGTGCTGTATCACACACAACTGTCCGCACCCAAGGCCCGCGGCCCTGCTCGACGCCGGCCTCGCGCGCCTGTCCCGCGCCCTGGCCCGCGGGGACCACGCGGCCCGCCACCTCACCGCCACCTCGCGCGTCACCGAGAACCACCACCTGCTGGTGAGTGCTGTATCACACACAACTGTCCGCACCCAAGGCCCGCGGCCCTGCTCGACGCCGGCCTCGCGCGCCTGTCCCGCGCCCTGGCCCGCGGGGACCACGCGGCCCGCCACCTCACCGCCACCTCGCGCGTCACCGAGAACCACCACCTGCTGGTGAGTGCTGTATCACACACAACTGTCCGCACCCAAGGCCCGCGGCCCTGCTCGACGCCGGCCTCGCGCGCCTGTCCCGCGCCCTGGCCCGCGGGGACCACGCGGCCCGCCACCTCACCGCCACCTCGCGCGTCACCGAGAACCACCACCTGCTGGTGAGTGCTGTATCACACACAACTGTCCGCACCCAAGGCCCGCGGCCCTGCTCGACGCCGGCCTCGCGCGCCTGTCCCGCGCCCTGGCCCGCGGGGACCACGCGGCCCGCCACCTCACCGCCACCTCGCGCGTCACCGAGAACCACCACCTGCTGGTGAGTGCTGTATCACACACAACTGTCCGCACCCAAGGCCCGCGGCCCTGCTCGACGCCGGCCTCGCGCGCCTGTCCCGCGCCCTGGCCCGCGGGGACCACGCGGCCCGCCACCTCACCGCCACCTCGCGCGTCACCGAGAACCACCACCTGCTGGTGAGTGCTGTATCACACACAACTGTCCGCACCCAAGGCCCGCGGCCCTGCTCGACGCCGGCCTCGCGCGCCTGTCCCGCGCCCTGGCCCGCGGGGACCACGCGGCCCGCCACCTCACCGCCACCTCGCGCGTCACCGAGAACCACCACCTGCTGGTGAGTGCTGTATCACACACAACTGTCCGCACCCAAGGCCCGCGGCCCTGCTCGACGCCGGCCTCGCGCGCCTGTCCCGCGCCCTGGCCCGCGGGGACCACGCGGCCCGCCACCTCACCGCCACCTCGCGCGTCACCGAGAACCACCACCTGCTGGTGAGTGCTGTATCACACACAACTGTCCGCACCCAAGGCCCGCGGCCCTGCTCGACGCCGGCCTCGCGCGCCTGTCCCGCGCCCTGGCCAAGTTAAAACACTTCTAGAACTCCAGTAGCTCGTATTTTTTTTAAGTTAAAACTTCTTTAGCACCGTTGTTATTTGAAACTCGATGAAACGAAAAAACGACAGTATTTGACTCAAAGTATCCGTAATTTTGTGACTCTGCAAAAGACAGATTGTTCAAGTTCATATAGCTCTTTTATAAGAAGCAAGATGGCGCTGTAGCAATTGTTACTCGCACTATGGTTTAAGTTCCGAAGTTTCACATAATAACAACTTTAGTTCGTTATTTGGTTAATAGATGTCACGTTAAGTCCTTGTAATCGCGGTATAGATTGCTGCAGTGCTTTTCTATAAGTAGTTTCCTATATGAATAGATAGAAGATCAAGGATTCAGTACCAGTTCAAGATTCTGTTTGATTTGTTATGGTTTTTAAAATACATTAGTTCAAGTACGAAGTTCTATCATTTCAAGGAATCCCAATTCGCCGAGTACTTTTGCTGACCCTTGGTCCTAAACAATGGTCCTATATTCGAGCCGGATTTAGATGAAGTAGATCACCCAAGTTTTGAGAAGATACGGCAGGTGGCGTGCCGATTAGTGCTGTACGCTGCCGCTCACTCCTCTAGAGAGAGAAAGAGAATAGTGCAGTGAAGCGCCCCCTGGAGGCAGTTTCCTGCAAACAAGTACGACGATTTGAACGCCCCCTGGCGGCCAAAGAAGGAAGCGTTTACTAGTGCATTGTAAATTGTGGTTTGTGTGAGTGCATTAGAAACTGTAAGTACAATTTGAACCTTATTAGCTTAGTTAAAATAACTTAGAAGATTTTAAAGATTTATCGTCTTAGTGCATTTCTACATAGTTGTAAGTAGCTTTAGGACTTAGAATAATTTAAGGAAAAACGACGGAACGGGGAATCCATGTCCGATTTCCGCTCGGTACAAATGTGTCAAACACTTGTAAAATTTTAAGCTTTGGAAATTATTAATTTTATTTTTCTTTTAAATTGACCACAGACTAGTGGATTGTCAGTTTGTTTATTTTATTAGTACAAGTGTCATTTAAGTTAATTTGTTTTCCCTTTACTTGTTATAGTTTTGTAAACATGGAAGGACTTTTGAAAATTCAATTAGCTCTAAAATCAGTAATTGAAAAAGGCTTAGTTAATTTTAATAAATCTCCGAAAAGCAGAATCACTTTGGCGTATATAGAAATTAGAACGGAAAATTTGGAAAAAGATTGGTCACTTTTTAGAGATAATAATGTAAAGTTAATTGAAATATTGTCTTCTCAAAATATTTCAGAATCAACGTACATTTCTAATGATATTTATGGTAGTGTTGAAGAGACTTATTTGGAATACAAAACCTTATTGAGAACTGCTCAAAGGGAATTATTAGCTTTAGAACATAGTGTTAGTACTGTTTGCAATAAGAACATTGAGACCAATTGTACTTCTTCGCTGGTTAAGTTACCACCAATTTCGATTCCAATTTTCTCAGGAAAATATTCCGAGTGGGCCACGTTCCGCGATTTATTTCATTGTTTAGTACACAAGAACAATTCCTTAGATAATGTACAGAAATTGCATTATTTAAAAGGGCATCTTACCGGTGAAGCAGAGCAATTGATAAGGTATGTACCTATTACAGATGAAAATTATATACAATGTTGGGATCAATTAGAGAACAGATACAATAATAAAAAATATTTAGCTAATTGTATTTTGAAACGGTTTTTCGGACAAAAACGTGTATATGCCGAGTCTGCAAGTGCTTTGAAAGAAATTTTAGATACTACTTCTGATTGTATGAATGCGTTACAAAACCTAAAAATTAATGTGAGCACTTGGGATATTATAGTTATATTTATAGTTACTTCTAAACTCGACACAGAAACCCGTAAACAATGGGAAATTGCGGTTTCTAACGAGAGCTCTGGAGATCTCCCTACCTTTACACAGTTTAAGACCTTTCTTGAAAATCGTTTTAGGGCACTTGAGTTCATTGAACCTAAAAGGTTCCCAGGTCAGCACAATGTTTCACACACTCATCAATTGAATCCGAAGGTAATGGTAACTACGCAACGTAACATTAAATGTGAGTATTGTACTGAAAGTCATAAATTATGTTTTTGCAAAGGGTTTATAAGTTTAGATATTAACAAGAGGCGCGACTTTGTGATGAATAATAAAGTTTGCTTTAACTGTTTAGGAGGAAATCATATGGTGAATGAATGTCAAAAACCAACTTGTTGTCGTACATGCAAGAAGAAGCATCACTCTCTTTTGCATATAAATAGTTCGAACATCAGTTCAAATCAAACAAAAGGTCATAAGGTCAACCTCAGTACTCAGTCTGAAGGTGTTAGTTCATCAATTGGTGAAGTACCTGTTGTTTCTTGTCTATCAACGGGTGAGATCATGAGTTCTAGGCAAGTTTTATTAGCGACAGCGCTAATAAAGGCTCAGTCAAACCTGGGTAATTGTCAAGTTCTGCGTGCCTTGCTGGATCAAGGTTCGCAAGCTAGCTTCGTTAGAGAGGATGTAGTACAGTTCTTAAGGCTAAAGAAAACTCCAGTAAGAGGGGTAGTATCTGGTCTTGGTGCAAATAAAACAACTGTATCGAAATATATGGTTACGTTTAATTTACAATCGATAGTGGAGTCCAATGTTGACATTAAAATTCATGCTTATGTGTTGAAGGCGATCACGTCCAATATACCTGAAAGAAAATTACAGTCATTAGAATGGCTAGAACTAGAACAACTAAGATTAGCTGATCCAGAGTTTCATAAGCCGAATAAAATCGATGTACTGTTAGGAGCCGACGTCTATTGTCAGATTGTTATGGAAGGTATTAAGAGATTTCCAAATGGATCTTTACTTGCTCAGAATACGTGCTTGGGCTGGATTATATCGGGAGTGGTTGCACCTGAAAGCAGAAAGAACACCATTCGTTATATTACAGTAATGCATGCTCAAATGAATGACAGTGATATATTAAAAAGATTTTGGGAAATTGAGGATCAGCTAAATAATAAAAAGAAAATACTTACCTTAGAAGAACAAAGATGCGAGGAAATATACGCAGCAACTACAAGGAGAACAGGGGATGGACGTTACATTGTGAAACTTCCGTTTCGCGAAAAGATTCTACGGTGTATTGGTGGAAACAGCAGAGATATAGCTGTGCAAAGATTTTTATCATTAGAAAGAAAATTTTCTAAAGATAAGGAGTTAAAGGAGAGGTATGCAAAGGTAATCAATGAGTACTTAGAATTAGATCACATGAGACCGGTGAAAGAAGGGGATGAAAATATGGCGGTGTACCTTCCACACCATGCAGTGATTAAAGAAGAGAGAACTACTTCTAAGGTAAGAGTGGTATTCGATGCCTCATGTAAAAATAAAAATGGTGTGTCACTCAACGATGATTTAATGGTAGGACCTAAATTGCAGTTAGATTTACGCAAAATTGTTATGCGTTGGAGAATTTATCCCATTGGAATCGTTGGAGACATTGTTAAAATGTATCGCCAAATAAGAGTGGCAGCTGAGGATGCCATCTTTCAGAGAATAGTTTGGAGAGAAGATCCTCATGATAAAATCAAAGAATTTGAGTTGGTAACGGTTACCTTTGGTACAGCATCCGCTCCTTACCTAGCAGTAAAAAGTTTACATCAAGTTGCGCTGGATGAAAGAAATAATTTTCCAAGGGCATCTGATCTTGTTCCTGTATCCTTTTACATGGATGACTTGATGACAGGAAGCTTTAGCGTACTGGAAGGGTCAGAAATATATAGTGAAATGAGAGATCTACTTAAAAAAGGAGGATTTGTCTTACAAAAGTGGAATAGTAATAGTATAGAGCTTTTAAATATAATACAACAATGTGAAAGAGAGGTGAATATAGAACAGGAAAGGAAAGGTTGTGAAAAGGATAATATGAACAAGGAGATAAGAGAAGAATATAACAATGAAGAACAAAAGGAAGAGAAGGATGTAATGGATACCACTAAGATATTGGGACTTGCTTGGTCTCGTTGTGAAGATGTGTTTAAATATTCAGTACAGTTGAAACCGAAGGCCGGACCTGAAACAAAGAGATCGATTTTATCAGACATTGCACACTTATTTGATCCACTTGGTTGGATAGCTCCTAGCATTGTGATAGCAAAAATATTTATACAAAAATTGTGGTTATCAGGTATCGGCTGGGACGAAGAGGTACCAACGAATTTAATGGAAGAATGGGTTACTTACCGAAGTCAATTAGTACAACTTACCAATGTACGTGTTCCTCGATGGCTTGGTGTTGAAGCCGTTGATGATTGGGTAGAAATCCACGGGTTTTGTGACGCATCAAAGGCGGCGTACGCTGCCTGCATTTACGTGAGAACAAAAAATAAGGGAGGTCAAGTTCGTGTGTCATTGTTAGTAGCAAAGAGTAAGGTTGCACCGATAAAACAAATAAGTATACCACGACTAGAACTTTGTGGCGCCTTGCTGCTTAGCCGGTTACTAGTAGAAGTGATGGAAACAATGCAAATTCAAAAAAATAGAGTTCACGCTTGGACTGATTCGATGGTGGTGTTGGATTGGCTCAACAGTCACCCAAGTAGGTGGAAAACTGTCGTTGCCAATCGTGTTTCTGAGATTTTGACAACCATTGATGCCGATCAGTGGTCACATGTTTCATCAAAAGACAACCCAGCAGATTGTGCATCGAGGGGTGTTTTGCCTAGACTGTTAATTGAAAATACAACTTGGTTTCAAGGTCCAAAATTTCTTAGAGAACATAATATATGTTATATTAGGCCAAGAAATAATAAAGTACATTTAGAAGAAGCCATCATGTCTCACGTAGCTATAAATGAAGAAGTTTTTTGGGAAAAATATTCGTCACTTAGGAAAGTCCTCAGAGTAGTAGCTTATTGTAGACGTTTTATACATCGGAAGAAGAATACGGTTGTACCAAAATACCTGAAAAAGACAGAATTAAAGGAAGCTCTTAAGTGTTGTATTAGATATTGTCAGAATATAGAATTTAAAGAAGAATACTTACAGATCAAGAAGAGTGGCTGCCTAACTTCGAAAGGGAGTAAGTTGAAATCGCTCTGTCCTTATATTGATGATGATGATCTAATAAGAGTGGGCGGGAGATTACATAAAGCACCTCTCCCGTCTCAGACGAAGCATGCTATAATTTTGCCACATAAAGCACATCTTACTAAGTTAATAGTAGCAGACGCCCATGAACGTACACTACATGGGGGTCCCCAACTTATGTTGAATTTCTTGAGATCGGGATACTGGATTATTGGAGTAAGGGGTTTAGTAAAGCAGAATGTTAGGAGATGTGTGATATGTATTAAAGCAAACGCAAAGTTCAAAAGTCAGTTCATGGGGTCACTTCCCACAGTACGGTGCACTCCTGCTAGGCCGTTTCTCAATAGCGGAGTAGACTATGCGGGTCCAATCAACTTAAGAACTACTAAGGGAAGAGGGCATCGTGCCTATAAGGGTTATATTTGTGTTTTTATTTGTATGGCCACCCGTGCCATACATCTTGAGGTTGCAAGTGACTTAAGTACACAAGCGTTCATTGCCGCATTCAGGCGTTTTGTTTCTAGACGAGGACACTGCGCTCACATGTGGAGCGATAATGGCTCTAATTTTGTAGGAGCTGCGCGAGAACTGTCTCATTTGGCTGCTATTCAGGCCAGTATAGCTGAAAATTTAGAAGCTAGCGGTACAGAGTGGCATTTTATACCGCCTCATGCGCCGAACTTCGGTGGATTGTGGGAGGCGGCAGTAAAGTCTACCAAGTTTCACCTTAAGCGTGTCATAGGCGAGACGACCTTGACATATGGAGAGATGAGCACATTACTTTGTCAGGTCGAAGCTTGTCTTAATTCTAGGCCTATGACAATTATTAATACTGACGAGATCGACGAACCATTACCGTTAACCCCCGGTCATTTTTTGGTGGGTGAACCATTGATTGCTGTACCTGATTGTAACTTTGAGAACGCCTATGTTAGTCCTTTGTATAGATGGCAACTTGTACAAAAGATGTTGCAAAATTTCTGGCGTCGTTGGTCTCAAGAGTATCTAACAACGCTTTTACATAGGTATAAATGGTCTTATCAAATTCCAGAACCACAAATAGGAGATGTTGTCTTGATAAAAGAGAACGAGTTACCTCCGAGTCGCTGGTTGATAGGTCGAGTTGTTCAGAAACATCCTGGGCCAGACAATATAACTCGAGTGGTCACATTGAGAGTTAGGGGTTCATTGTTAAAACGCCCTACTTCAAAATTATGTGTTTTGCCAATTAATGAAATCTAGTATAATTGGGTTCAACTGTTTTATTTTGTTATTTATTTGTTAATAGTTTATCAGTGTATAAATGTTTAACAGCAAATTTTATTTTTTAATGAAGTTATGTAATGTTAAGTTTTTTCAGTTCAGTTCGTTTTAAATTTATTTATGTCAAGTCCAACCATTTTTGAAAGGACGATTTCTTCAATATCGTCCTTGGGGGGCGGTATGTTCAAGTTAAGTTCATATAGCTCTTTTATAAGAAGCAAGATGGCGCTGTAGCAATTGTTACTCGCACTATGGTTTAAGTTCCGAAGTTTCACATAATAACAACTTTAGTTCGTTATTTGGTTAATAGATGTCACGTTAAGTCCTTGTAATCGCGGTATAGATTGCTGCAGTGCTTTTCTATAAGTAGTTTCCTATATGAATAGATAGAAGATCAAGGATTCAGTACCAGTTCAAGATTCTGTTTGATTTGTTATGGTTTTTAAAATACATTAGTTCAAGTATGAAGTTCTATCATTTCAAGGAATCCCAATTCGCCGAGTACTTTTGCTGACCCTTGGTCCTAAACACAGATAGCCGAACGGTAACAGTGTTGGGGTCAAAACCAAATGATCGGTGGTTCGATCCTGAGCTCGGATATCTTTTTTATTTTAATAAGCAAGCTATTATTTATTTTTAATTTTTTTTTTCTTTTATTAGGCTATTATTTATTTTTCTAAACAATTTAAGTATAGAATATTTAATTTTGCCTAGTATTTTATAGTCATGAAGGACTTTTACGTGTTCACATTTTTGTAGGTTTCAGTTCTATCGCATGTGAACACCACATTTCCGTTTTTTTTAATATGTTTTCTTTCTTTTGAAATGGTTGTCATCCTGTTCTGTTTTTTTTCACTTTTTACCATTTTAAAAAGCTTCCGCCCGGGCCTAATAGTACGATGCATTTGTACAGGAGCTGGAACACCTCCTGGAGTCGGAGGTGGTGCCGGAGCTGCGCCTGCACGAGCTGTTCATGTGCGATGTCAACCAGATCCTGCAGGACTTCTGCTGCATGGCCCGGAACAAGTGAGGCTGATCCAATTCTTATACATCCCCAGGAAACTTCTTGATCGTCGACCATGGTCAAGGAGCCTGCGCAGTAGCAATTTTACTTGATATTATAGACCGATTATACCGCGGCTATGGAGGTGGGACTCATAAGGGTGCCACGAATACTCACTTCCTTATTCCCAAACATGGACTAAAATCAGCCTCGGTTGAAATCAAATGTTGTCTCTGTCCTCTCTTTATTAAACAAAAGTGACAGCATCATTTTCAGTCCAGATTTAAGTTTAGTCTTGCGTGGCCAGTTGGAAATTGGGTGCTATGACCACATCCGCACTCCCGACACGGATTGGGGGGACCGCGGTTCTCAGAGTGAGTGCCGAGTGATGTGCAGTTGTCTGGTTTTTACTGGCCCTGTTCAGGGCATTAGGTAGGGTTCTGCTCATTTCATCGAGCCCCAGGGCTGGCTGAAATGAGCAGGGAGGAGTCCCAGATACCTTCTTCACGCTCTCCTAGTGGTTGAATGATGCGTAAGGCAATTCCCAGACACAAATAAAAAGTTTAATTTTAGTCTATGTTTTGAAATAGGCTGTTATAATTTTGTTTATATATTTATTCGTTTTGTTTTGTAGATGAGTGTATTCGTTTGTAGTTGGGTATATATTGGATGTATGTACACTATATTGCGTGTGTGGGCAGGGTGCCAGCGGTTCGGGCCAAGGACGAGGCGACGGATAAGAAGAGCGGAAAAGGAGAGGGGGGAGGGGAGGATGAAGGGGAAGGGGAGGGGGAGGGAGAGCTGCGCCTCATTGTGGACCCGCTGCGGCGGCGACTGCGGGCCACCGTCAATATGGACCGCGCGCTGCAGCTATACAACGTGTACTGGTAGGGGCTGATCTCACTACGGCTACTTTTAATAATAATAAATAAAGGGCATCGGTCGCTGAAAGCCCTCTATAATGCGATTCAAATAAGAATAGGAAAGCCAATGACCTCCATCTGTCAAATGACGCTTGAAAAGTACGGTTTGCAAAAAATCTTGGAACTCTTTTTTAGCACTCGGCTAATTCTAGAATAGAAAAAATGGGTGCGTGTACTTATGTAGGCGCGTGAGAAGTTATCCTTCTTTGGCATCGTTTAAAATTAGTTTTAAATTGCATGCAAATAATTAATTACAATATATTAATAAAAAGTCTGGAAAAGGACACAGTCAATAAAGTTCAGTTTTAATTTGAAAAAATAAATAAATAATCAAAATATTCAATTAAAATCGCTACTGAATATAATTTATTAGAACATATGTGATTTGCACTTGTATGAAACTCAAACACGTATTCCGAATATACAAACTAGAAACATGTGGATAAATATTATAAATATGAATACCTATAGCTGTTACTTTAATACAAAAAATAAAGATGTGGTTTTTGGTTCTACTACACCAATGGTCAAGAGATGGCGCTGTAGTCTCCTGAATCGCGCTTTGGTTCCGTTGTTCCAGATTAATAAATACTTTTTGTTACTTTATTACAAAAAGTAAAGATGTGGTTTTTGGTTCTACTACACCAATGGTCAAGAGATGGCGCTGTAGTCTCCTGAATCGCGCTTTGGTTCCGTTGTTCCAGATTAATAAATACTTTTGATAGGCCTTCATAATGCAGTCGTTAGCACCGACAAAATAGAGATTCTATTTCTATTTTGTTGGTAGATTTTCTTAATGTGCGGTAAACACAAAAGTAAACAGCATCAGGTAAACAGAGCAGCAGGTCGCTAAAGCGACCAACTTCATGCTGTTAATATTTTGTGTTACAGTGATGCGCGCGCATCTTAAAATTTCACTCTCATCATTTTTTCATAACGCGCCTAAAGAAGTATAACTTCAAAAAACTTTGTTTTTTCTCACTCAATCTTAGTAAATAAGTTTTATCGAAGAAAAACTTTTATTGCTCACTCTACCTATTTCGTTTCAATCGACAGCTTTGACATCACAAAATGGCGCCCAGTCGATCCTATTGTTAGTCGAATCGCATTATATGAGGCTTCCGTATCGCCTTCTCTCGTGTTCGGTAGTTCTGAATGCGGTGCATATAATGTGTGTTGTCGTCGTTCAGGGCCGATTGCTACGACGAAGAGTCCCGCGTGCGGCGCTGCTGCGGCGAGCTGCGTGCCGCGCTGGAGGCGCTCAACGATGCGGCCGCGGCGGAAGTGAGGGAACATCTGCGCGCCGCCGTCAGGAACTGCCTCGCCGGCATCAGGTCACTATATACATACTATATACATACTACGACGAAGAGTCCCGCGTGCGGCGCTGCTGCGGCGAGCTGCGTGCCGCGCTGGAGGCGCTCAACGATGCGGCCGCGGCGGAAGTGAGGGAACATCTGCGCGCCGCCGTCAGGAACTGCCTCGCCGGCATCAGGTCACTATATACATACTATATACATACTACGACGAAGAGTCCCGCGTGCGGCGCTGCTGCGGCGAGCTGCGTGCCGCGCTGGAGGCGCTCAACGATGCGGCCGCGGCGGAAGTGAGGGAACATCTGCGCGCCGCCGTCAGGAACTGCCTCGCCGGCATCAGGTCACTATATACATACTATATACATACTACGACGAAGAGTCCCGCGTGCGGCGCTGCTGCGGCGAGCTGCGTGCCGCGCTGGAGGCGCTCAACGATGCGGCCGCGGCGGAACTGAGGGAACATCTGCGCGCCGCCGTCAGGAACTGCCTCGCCGGCATCAGGTCACTATATACATACTATATACATACTACGACGAAGAGTCCCGCGTGCGGCGCTGCTGCGGCGAGCTGCGTGCCGCGCTGGAGGCGCTCAACGATGCGGCCGCGGCGGAAGTGAGGGAACATCTGCGCGCCGCCGTCAGGAACTGCCTCGCCGGCATCAGGTCACTATATACATACTATATACATACTACGACGAAGAGTCCCGCGTGCGGCGCTGCTGCGGCGAGCTGCGTGCCGCGCTGGAGGCGCTCAACGATGCGGCCGCGGCGGAAGTGAGGGAACATCTGCGCGCCGCCGTCAGGAACTGCCTCGCCGGCATCAGGTCACTATATACATACTATATACATACTACGACGAAGAGTCCCGCGTGCGGCGCTGCTGCGGCGAGCTGCGTGCCGCGCTGGAGGCGCTCAACGATGCGGCCGCGGCGGAAGTGAGGGAACATCTGCGCGCCGCCGTCAGGAACTGCCTCGCCGGCATCAGGTCACTATATACATACTATATACATACTACGACGAAGAGTCCCGCGTGCGGCGCTGCTGCGGCGAGCTGCGTGCCGCGCTGGAGGCGCTCAACGATGCGGCCGCGGCGGAAGTGAGGGAACATCTGCGCGCCGCCGTCAGGAACTGCCTCGCCGGCATCAGGTCACTATATACATACTATATACATACTACGACGAAGAGTCCCGCGTGCGGCGCTGCTGCGGCGAGCTGCGTGCCGCGCTGGAGGCGCTCAACGATGCGGCCGCGGCGGAAGTGAGGGAACATCTGCGCGCCGCCGTCAGGAACTGCCTCGCCGGCATCAGGTCACTATATACATACTATATACATACTACGACGAAGAGTCCCGCGTGCGGCGCTGCTGCGGCGAGCTGCGTGCCGCGCTGGAGGCGCTCAACGATGCGGCCGCGGCGGAAGTGAGGGAACATCTGCGCGCCGCCGTCAGGAACTGCCTCGCCGGCATCAGGTCACTATATACATACTATATACATACTACGACGAAGAGTCCCGCGTGCGGCGCTGCTGCGGCGAGCTGCGTGCCGCGCTGGAGGCGCTCAACGATGCGGCCGCGGCGGAACTGAGGGAACATCTGCGCGCCGCCGTCAGGAACTGCCTCGCCGGCATCAGGTCACTATATACATACTATATACATACTACGACGAAGAGTCCCGCGTGCGGCGCTGCTGCGGCGAGCTGCGTGCCGCGCTGGAGGCGCTCAACGATGCGGCCGCGGCGGAAGTGAGGGAACATCTGCGCGCCGCCGTCAGGAACTGCCTCGCCGGCATCAGGTCACTATATACATACTATATACATACTACGACGAAGAGTCCCGCGTGCGGCGCTGCTGCGGCGAGCTGCGTGCCGCGCTGGAGGCGCTCAACGATGCGGCCGCGGCGGAAGTGAGGGAACATCTGCGCGCCGCCGTCAGGAACTGCCTCGCCGGCATCAGGTCACTATATACATACTATATACATACTACGACGAAGAGTCCCGCGTGCGGCGCTGCTGCGGCGAGCTGCGTGCCGCGCTGGAGGCGCTCAACGATGCGGCCGCGGCGGAAGTGAGGGAACATCTGCGCGCCGCCGTCAGGAACTGCCTCGCCGGCATCAGGTCACTATATACATTTTATAAATAAATAAATAAATATTTCCAACACTCACACCGATTAGCCTAGCCCCAAAGTGAGCACTGTGAGGCTTGTCTATGGGATGCTAGGGTAACGGATGGAATACATATACTGTACATATATAAGTATATTTATATAGAAAATACGTATTAAACATCCATGACTGGAGTACGAATGCTCGTATTCATCACGCAAACATCTGCCCCCACCGGGATTCGAACCCGTGACCTCTCGAGTCGGCGACACCATGAAACCCGGCATACAAACCGCTCGGCCACGGAGGTCGTCGTTTTACACACACGTTTGCTCAAAAAATGCATTTACGAAGGTTGCAGGGTAAACTACCCGATCATTGGCACTCTTCCTATTATTGGCACTTTTGAGTTTAATTCAAAAAAAACAAGGAGATGATAGATTATTCGAGGTCGTTACATATTAAAAAGAAAAACCTAGTATGGTTACGAAATTTGAAAATTGGCTATCTATTGTTTCCTGGTTTTTTCGAACTAAACTCAAAACTGCCAATAATAGGAAGAGTGCCAATGATTGGATAGTTTACCCTATATTGTTCGAAAATTCAAAATTACGGGATATACAGCGGAGCGTGCGGTGAAATTCATTACGCACGCTTTCATACATGGCGCGAACCTCCTCGGAAGCGCTTTTAGTGTACACCCGGGTCTCACTTTAATACTAAAAAGAAAAGTAGGTGAAAGATGCAGTTTTAATTTTCACCACCCGCCCGTGGCACCACTTAATAATACGCGCCATTTCCTTGTTTGAAAAAAAAAACTTTATTACTTAATTTATGTTTTCTCGCAAATGTGTTAAAAAACGTTGACATTCGTGCGGGTTGGTATTACAAACTCATGAGTATGGTAAACGGGCTCGGGCTAACCTTGTGTTCGGAATCATTCATAAACTCTCATTAGGCATTTGTTGAAATACGGACAACTTGAGGAATCGTGGCCTACTACAGAGTGTATTAGATTTTGAGGTTATAATTATTATACTTAATCGTAAACGATGAACACTTTATATCTTCTGAATAGATTCATTGTTTACCTCTATGTAAGCACTTAAATAATATGAATTAAATAAACATAAAATGTAATGAATAATATAAATAATAAATGCCTATATTCATATTTATTTATGAGTGTTGGCAGTTGGCACCTATGATACCTATACCTGCCTGTGTAATAATACATTTCTTTTCAAATGAATTGTTCAAAGGTTTTCCATTTACCTGTTTCTATATTTTATTATTGGTAATTAGGTATGTAGGTACATGGTTATCATTATAATTTTCATAAAAAAATAACAGATATTATATATATCCAGTCGATAAGTTGTGTGGACTTAATTTGCCAATTTATGGTTGATTTTTCTTAAAATAAAATACCCATAAAATACCTGTTACCTTATAATGAAATGAAAGATGAACAGAATGATTGATAAAAGAATTAGGCTATGATATTAGGCTGAATGAGGCATGTTTTTTTTTTATCTCGCTTCCCATGTAATTCTCTTCCGATTGTGTTTTGATTTCGGGATTTCAGAAAAGTTTAGCAAAATACTTTTTTGCTACAATGTTTAATTTAAATTGTTTCCTTGAGTGAAGATAAAGTAGTGTATGCAACTTCATATAATCTAGGTATTAAAACACTCGAGTTAACTTATTAACGCATATACATATACAATATATATATATATATATATATATATATATATATATATATATATATATATATATATATATATATATATATATATATATATATATATATATATATATGATATATGTATATAGGGTGAAATTGAATGTTTTAATGAAACTTCGTGAGATTGTTGGGTTACATGTATAGAGTATGCCTGATTTTTTTCGGAATTTTTGAAGTATATTTTTTTCATGTATTTATTTATAATTTGTGTATTTTTATGTCCTTTCCTCCTTTTGAGTAGTTATTCATTTTAAACAAACAAACTTACATATCCAGTGAAAAATAACTAATAAATAAGCACTTCTAAAAAATGGAAAAACATTAAAATTCCACCGCGGGTCAACGACCGACCGCGCCCGCCAGCCGTTGAGTGAGTAGGTACCTCTACACAGAGTTCAGCTGACTCCTTTGATTCCACACAATACAATAAAGTCGTCTTATGCCTTTATTGAAATAATAAGCACAAATGTCATCTTCTCTTAAGCAGAGAAAATTAAAAGTTAATAATAATTTTGTCACGATTAGAAATAGGCAAATATAAAACAAAAAGAAATACTTATTGCAGTTCAATACTTGGGTCAGAATAAAATTTATAACCAGGTATTCAAAAGTACTTACGGGACCGATGAACCTATTCATTTTTTTCACTTTAACTTCCCGTATACACTTTGTAAACAGAATCAATCACTAAACCTACTTTCGTAAAGCCTTGTGGCTCTGCTGAGTATTCCGTGACACTACAATAACAACACACCATATCCAACTTCTTATATTGAGGCCACAGAACAAGAACTAATCAAGGCATTATTTGCAAATCTTCTCTTGTCACAAATTTATAAGATACGCACGCGCGGTTTATAAACTTGACACTGCGCTCGCTCACTGCGCTTTGCAGGTATTCAACGCATAGGTAGGTATTCAACCGATTCAACGGGCGGGAGCGGTCATCGCTCACTGCGCTTTGCAGGTATTCAACGCATAGGTAGGTATTCAACCGATTCAACGGGCGGGAGCGGTCATTGCTCCCGGCCGCTCGTCTTCTGTTTTTACGTTTTTTTTAGTAGTGCTTATTAGTTGTTTTTTACTTACTCTGTATGCGTGTACCCAAAAAGCAGGAATTTCTTTTCATCGGTAAATATAAAACTTCTTAGTTAGACTGATATTTTAGCAAAAATTCGAGAAATTTTAATAAAACGATAAATCACATATACATTTCTACAAAAATATACATTGCTGACAAAGTACGCTCGCTATTCTTTCTACGACATTCAAAACACGTAACGTAGTACGATCGAGCAAGAATGACGCGTGGATCACAGAGCGCTGCACGTGGCCGCACGCAGTACAAGGTCATTGCATCTACTTTAGTGGTGTCTTGCGTCGTACATTTTACATTTTCGATAGATTTTATCTACTGAATTTTAGCACCTAATAATGGATTAAAGTTACTTTTAGAAATAAATAAAAGCTGATTGTGAATGTTTATCATACTTAATATTATAAAGGCGAAAGTTTGTGAGTGTGTATGTTTGTTACTTCTTCACGTCTAAACGGCTGGAGCGTTTTTAATAAAATTTGGTATGGAGTTAGCTGACACCCTGGATTAACACATGCGCTACGTTGAACTGCGGGAAAATATCCAGATCATTGCCTAGCCACACTTGAACTTGATAATACACACGATACAAGTGTTGAAAGGCAGAAGCAGATGTTGGAGGCAGACAATACCACTGTACTGTTTTACTGTTCCATGCAGATTTATATCCCATAGTAGGCCTCAGAAAGATATTATAACAGTTATTGTGGTACTTAGCTTTAGCAGCAACTAAGTTATACTCAATATGTAAAATATGAATTTTCTAATTATTAAAACAGCGATATCTCACGAATGGTGTGTCGTGAGAGAAAAAGTGACTGGGCCAGTTTTGTAGACAATTGTATGATCTTAACTTTAGTCAGAGCTATTTTCACGATAAAACTTACCGTTTTCGAGAAAAATGGAAAGAACCATAATTTTGTAAGTTTGACCTTGAATTTTTTTTTGCAGAAGTAGGATCGAAGGAGATTTTAGACATTTTATTTATAATGATGTATTTAATTTCTCTGCCAATTTTCAGCTCTATGCAAATTATCCCTAAGTTAAGACTTATTTTTGTCTTTTTTGACTGGACTATAGAGAGAATTAACTTGTCCACACAGTCAGTAGAAAGAGATTGTAAAGAGCCATCTGAAAACGAAGAGGATGAAGATGAAGATTTTACTGATTTTAGTACACAAGTCATTGCCTACATAGCAGGCAATGTGGTTCATGTCCTTATAAAAAAAACTAATGCGATATTTGCCTTGGAGCCCTAATATCAGATTCAAGTAATAATTAACATAAATTTATTTCGTTAAAAGATAAACGTGGCCTGATATATCCGGCCGTGGTGATGTTATAAAAATATGCAAAAGTGCAGAAACTGTAATACGACAACATGCAGATAATTTGAAAAATGTCAAAAAAGAAATTTTAGTCCAAAAAATATAAAAAAAGTTTATTGGCACTTCATTATTTGATGAAATATCATTTTATTAAGTCGGTGAATTCCCATTATCTAACCACGTAACAGATTCAATTAAAGTGGTAATTGAAAAATATATAGATATATTTCTTTTGAAAAATAACTTTAAAAAAGAAACAAAGCGTCACCTTTCTCATAAATATATATTGTTTAAATGTCAATAAATAACTATGGGTGAGGATGGCTGGTATGGCAGATAGAACTGCTGTATCAGCTATCTTCGCGTCTGGACTTCACCTTCACTTAACATCAGGTGGGGTGGAGTCATTTGTCGTACCTATCTATAAAAAATAATGGGTGTGTGTACTTATGTAGGCGCGTGAGAAGTTATCCTTCTTTGGCATCGTTTAAAATTAGTTTTTAATTGCATGCAAATAATTAATTACAATAAATTAATAAAAAGTCTGGAAAAGGACACAGTCAATAAAGTTCAGTTTTAATTTGAAAAAATAAATAAAAATTCAAAATATTCAATTAAAATGGCTACTGAATATAATTTATTAGAACATAATGTGATTTGCACTTGTATGAAACTCAAACACGTATTCCGAATATACAAACTAGAAACATGTGGATAAATATTATAAATATGAATACCTATAACTGTTACTTTATTACAAAAAATAAAGATGTGGCTTTTGGTTGTACTACACCAATGGTCAAGAGATGGCGCTGTAGTCTCCTGAATCGCGCTTTGGTTCCGTTGTTCCAGATTAATAAATACTTTTGATAGGCCTTCACAATGCAGTCGTTAGCACCCACTAAATAGAGATTCTATTTCTATTTTGTTGGTAGATTTTCTTAATGTGCGGTAAACACAAAAGTAACGCATGAAGTTGGTCGCTAAAGCGACCAACTTCATGCTGTTAAAATTTTGTGTTACATGATGCGCGCGCATCTTAAAATTTCACTCTTAACATATTTTTTCATAACGCGCCTAAAGAAGTATAACTTCAAAAAAAAACTATGTGTAGTATGCGTTTACATTAAATCATTTTCTTTATCTTTACTGACTTTGACAGAATACAAAAAATTCCATACAACCAAGTCAAGTCCAACTCGCACTTGGCATATTTAATATCGATAATATTTCATCGACTCAGTGACAACCACTAGAGCTAAAATCGGTGTGAACGAATGAACGCTCACAGTCACGACTGTGCGATTCGATGAGCGCTGATTTGTTCGGTTGCTTGATGTCGCGTCGTATGATTGGCTTATTATCTATTAGGTGGAAGTGTAGTGGGGACGAGCCGGCGACATCGGTTCTCACACTGACGATCGCTTATCACCCTTCTAACCTCTTTCTGTGTTCTGTGGTTTTAATACCTAGATTATATGAAGTATCCTACCCTTCTTATATTTTGTAAGCGCAATAAATGTCACTTGTTTTTAAACTATCTCTCTATAATTATAATACGCATAAATAGGTAACGTATAGCCAATTGTTCTATAATAGAGATATATAAATGTTTTTACTTGTTTAGGTACGAACGATTGCAAGAAGATGGCCCACGAATCGAGGAAGTGAGCGATAAACACCCATTGGTGCCGAGGTAAATATTTCATACATTATTATTTTGTATAGTGTAATATTTAGTAATTTTAGATTAGATTATAGATTTTCAGTATTTTAACTATGGATTCAAATAGCTCCTTAACTAAAAATTGTTAAATTTCGTTAATACATTGTAAATCTTATATGAAGAACTATGAAGTTAAAAGTCAAAGAAATTTGTCAGCTTTGGGTAACTTGACCTGCCCCCCTAGCATGAGTACCGCGTAATGATATATAACAAGTTTTTATCACGCTCAATTGTCAAATTACTATGGAGCTTGACAGTTAGACGTGATAAAACGTGATATAATGTAGATTGTAGTGTTCATGTTACGGGACTATGACTGTTTGTATCGTATCAGATATCTACTCTCTTCACTTTTAAGATCAGTACCCTCAGCATGAACCAATATCGAATTCGAATAGTTTGCGAGTGCGAAATGCCATTGTCAAATGTGTGCTGATTTTTAGTTCTCGTTACGTCCGTTTTGGCGCTGCTGTTCAAGTTTCCATACGAAATTTCACAATGACATTTTGCATTCGCAAACTATTCGTATTCGATAATAGTTTATGCTAAGGGTACAATATCGCGTTACTCGCTTGCTTTAGGTATTTCACATGGGGGGGCACCGCCTGGGCCGAGTCCGCGAGTGCGGCCGAGGCACTGGTGTACGGGGAGGAGGGGCACACCGTGATGGCCCACAACGGGTGGGTCATGGACTGTGACCCACTGCGGGACTTCGCCGCGCACTCCGAGCGCGGCCGCGTGTATCTGCGCCGCGAGCTCATCGCCTGGGGAGACAGCGTCAAGCTGAGGTATGTACTGTATATAACACAACGGGTGGGTCATGGACTGTGACCCACTGCGGGACTGCGTGTATCTGTGCGAGACAAGACACTCTATAAAATGAATTTATAAAAATCATTAAAATAAAAATTTAAGTTCTCGGAGTAACTGATATTCGTTATAATTAATATTTGTCATAAATTAAATTTATGTTCAATAAACGAAGCCGGACTTAGAATTCTGTCCAAAAATTATAAATTGTATGTTTTGATAAATTATTAGAATTTATAATATTTAGTAATGTGTAATAAATAATTAAGAATGTAAATGTACAATGCGATTCAAATAAGAATAGGAAAGGCAATGACCTCCATCCGTCAAATGTCGCTTCAAAAGTACGGTTTGCAAAAAAATCGTGGAATACTTTTTTTAGCACTTAGCTAATCTTAGAATTAATACTAAACATTTGTTAACATAAGAAGGAAATAAATCATATGTAACGTATAGCAAATGAGTACTTGAAAAGGGAAATATCAGAACATTATTTTTATTATAAATACAGGTAAAAAAAGAGCGTCTTTATTTTGAATAAAGTTGTCGTTTTAAAAACTACAATAATCGTTATTTTTTTTAATAGCCAAAAGCAGCAGTGATGATGATGACTACTCCGACGGTGGTGCAGAGATGAGCGGAATTAAAGAGCTAGATTCTGATTTATGTTGTTCTTACTCAGTCTTAATAAATAAATAATAATATTAAGACTAAGTGAGAAAAAGCATTAAAAAATATTTTTATTATTAAATATCTGATATTTTTTCTCACCTAATCTTGGTAAATAAGTTCTATTAAAGAAAAACTTTTTTGCTCACTCTACCTAACTGATTTGAATTGACACCTATGACGTCACAATATGGCGCCCAGTTGATCCTACTCTTAGTTTAATCGCACTGTAAATGTTTTCTGCTAAATTAAATAATGGGTTATTTATCTTAAAATTTACAATTTCTCTTATATACTAATTAAAGGAATTATATTATAATAACTTTTTATTTAACATACTGCCAGGACACTATAACAACAAATAGAAATTATATTTCTTATATTAAATAAATAAAATTACATTATGACTCGTATATTTCTAATCATCCATTTTTGATGTGCAAGTGCCTGTCCACGTCTCCACGTCAAAATATCGTCAACGTGTAACGGTGCGGTCATGCGGCACGATGCGTTGTCATAGCGTGTAAACATACGTTACCGGACCGGTAGCGTTAAAATGCACATCACGATGTCGCGTCGCAATGTTCCACGTCGCTATGCCTTGTGCAATTCCGGTGCATTGACGTCTGCTTACGACGACGTGAAGTGAGCATACCCACAGCGACGTTGACATACCCTGAACCGTTCCATGTCAACGACTTCATGACGCGAAGATACGGACAGGCCCTAACCATGTGTCGCGTTTCCGTCATCAGATACGGCGACAAGCCGGAGGACAGTCCGTTCCTGTGGGCGCACATGCGCGAGTACGTGGAGCTCACGGCCGAGGTGTTCGACGGCGTGCGCCTCGACAACTGCCACTCCACGCCGCTGCATGTATGTATATATATACAGTGTGTGTGTGTGTGTGTGTGTGTGGCCATAGGCCAGATACGGCCACAAGCCGGAGGACAGTCCGTTCCTGTGGGCGCACATGCGCGAGTACGTGGAGCTCACGGCCGAGGTGTTCGACGGCGTGCGCCTCGACAACTGCCACTCCACGCCGCTGCATGTATGTATATATATACAGTGTGTGTGTGTGTGTGTGTGTGTGGCCATAGGCCAGATACGGCCACAAGCCGGAGGACAGTCCGTTCCTGTGGGCGCACATGCGCGAGTACGTGGAGCTCACGGCCGAGGTGTTCGACGGCGTGCGCCTCGACAACTGCCACTCCACGCCGCTGCATGTATGTATATATATACAGTGTGTGTGTGTGTGTGTGTGTGTGGCCATAGGCCAGATACGGCCACAAGCCGGAGGACAGTCCGTTCCTGTGGGCGCACATGCGCGAGTACGTGGAGCTCACGGCCGAGGTGTTCGACGGCGTGCGCCTCGACAACTGCCACTCCACGCCGCTGCATGTATGTATATATATACAGTGTGTGTGTGTGTGTGTGTGTGTGGCCATAGGCCAGATACGGCCACAAGCCGGAGGACAGTCCGTTCCTGTGGGCGCACATGCGCGAGTACGTGGAGCTCACGGCCGAGGTGTTCGACGGCGTGCGCCTCGACAACTGCCACTCCACGCCGCTGCATGTATGTATATATATACAGTGTGTGTGTGTGTGTGTGTGTGTGGCCATAGGCCAGATACGGCCACAAGCCGGAGGACAGTCCGTTCCTGTGGGCGCACATGCGCGAGTACGTGGAGCTCACGGCCGAGGTGTTCGACGGCGTGCGCCTCGACAACTGCCACTCCACGCCGCTGCATGTATGTATATATATACAGTGACCATACACAATATCACGTTTACAAACAAGGCGGCGGTAGTTCTAATTTTCGTAACATTCATAAAGATCCATGTGGCACTATAATATGTACATCGCACGACACTCCCAGCCAATGCCAGCCGGGCACATTATTATAGCATATGCACGTGGTAGACGATAGCTCCTCCACGCCGCTGCACGTACGTCCTACGATATTAACCTCATATAATCACATGATAAATCTATATTTATTTTCAATTCTAAGGGTATACAAAGTTACACACGATACAAATATATCCACTATTTTGGACACTCGGTGAAGACTAATTATGCCGTTCAGAAAAATAATAGCGAAAAAGATTTATTACGAATATTTATATAGTAAGGTTCAGTAAATTTAAGCGCTAGAGAAATATGTTAAAGTATATATTTTATGTTTTAAACTCTATTAAATAAAATACCTTTCCTGCCTACTTGCAAAGGTTTTTTTTTACAATACAGTATTTGACAAGTTTTAGAAAACGATCTTACGTTATTAAAAAAACAATTTTCAAATTGCCGCGAAAACAATTCTCTGGACATTATGGCAGAATTGCGCTTTGTCGTTAGCCCGAATAAGAGTGCCAATGTAATTCGGGTTAACGACTAAGTCACGGTAATAATATCATACAGTATTCTATCTTCATACAAACGGTCGGAAAGCGAGTCATACCTACGCCACTCGAGTTCGATGTGCTCTCGGCGGGCACCCAGTCGCGAATGCGCCGCCGCGCCGCAACGACGACCGAATGGTCTGAATTGTTTTTTATGCAGTTAGCCGTGCTTAAACATGCGTTTTGTATTGTAAATATTTGATTTAATTAAGTAGATACCTACATAATTTAGTATGGAAAAGAACAAACGACGATCAATATCGTACAACAGCACAATTGCTGTTTTTGGTTGCTTGAACTCTTCAATAACACACCCAGAGATATCATTTTTTAAATTACCTGAAATATTGGAAAGGTGTCTTACCTTTATAGAATATTTTTTATATAGGTACCTATCTACTAGTACGTTATTTGTTTCTAATATTTAGGTATTTCAGTTTTTCCATCGGGTAAAATATCTGGAATAATATATAAATAAGTGGTTAGGATGAAAAAAGAGACAAACGAGTAATCTACCTACACTCGCGTTAAAAACAAAACTACATAAAATACTGTAGGCTGGCGGCCCTACCGCGTGCCAATGCAGCGTTCGGTGTAGGCATTTATTTTCAAGGACAGGGCGGAGTCACAATACTGTATAGATAATATTACCGTGACTAAGTGTACATGAACGGAGTCGATTACGCTCGTAATTCGGGTAGATTTCCTTTTGTTTACCCGACACCGTCTTCCAGCCCGTAATCTAGTGTAAATATTGTTTCGAGTGTCCGAATTCGATTAATGTCTTTCGTGCACCCGATTAAGGTAAACGTAAAATTAAAAAGTATAGTAAAAAGAGGGCTAGCGGCCAATAGTTATTTATTATACAAGAGTGGAAAGTTCCTTTTTAACCGCGTGCTCGATTTGGATGACCGAGCAAGCGAAGGATTCTAAAGTTCTAAATTAGAATCCTGAGCGTCAGCGAGGGAAACAAACGAGCACAAGGTGAAAAATCTTTCCACTCGAGTGCAATACGTAACTTTTCATCCCACCTCAGCGAGGAAATGACAAAATGAAAAAGAAAACAATTTATAATGACAAAATATTTAAGCAATAAAACGTGAAAAACTAGAATGGCGCGAAGCACGCAAATAAAACAAAGAAACCAAGAAGGTTCCAAATTTAAATTTTTTCACAATTTAAAAAGTTCTAATCATAAATTTGGCACCATAGAGGTTACATTAAATAGGTTTAATGACGTTTTGAATTTACAATTATATTGAGTACTCATTATATGTGATGTTCTAAATTCAAATCTACTTTGCCGCTCAAGCGAATAAAATAGAATTTTCCAGCCAGATTTCGAAGCGCAAAATTACACTTTCCGAGGTGGTGGGATGAAAATGTAATTTCATCCCACCTCAGCGAGGAAATGACAAAATGAAAAAGAAAACAATTTATAATGACAAAATATTTAAGCAATAAAACGTGAAAAACTAGAATGGCGCGAAGCACGCAAATAAAACAAAGAAACCAAGAAGGTTCCAAATTTAAATTTTTTCACAATTTAAAAAGTTCTAATCATAAATTTGGCACCATAGAGGTTACATTAAATAGGTTTAATGACGTTTTGAATTTACAATTATATTGAGTACTCATTATATGTGATGTTCTAAATTCAAATCTACTTTGCCGCTCAAGCGAATAAAATAGAATTTTCCAGCCAGATTTCGAAGCGCAAAATTACACTTTCCGAGGTGGTGGGATGAAAATGTAATTATGGCACTATGGCGTCGCACTGGTATGTGCCGCCACTCATTAAAACGTCAAACTATACAATGTTAAGTCACTTTGACTGAAAATTTACTAGCGTGTGACGTCATTTTAGTCTTCGTCAATCTCAGTCGTTTTTGGTCACGTGACCATGAAACAAAAAAACTATATGTATTTAATGATTTTTCTGAAAAGTTATTATTTATTTCAGAGCTAATATTCATATTAAATACAAGTGCAAACAATTGGTACTTTATTTTGTTGTCAAATATCCTATTAGTTCAGTAGATTGATGTTGCGTTATAAATACTGATATTTGCAAAATTTTTATTCTGGACGCTTTATTTACCGTCCATTGAATCATGAATTCATTATTACCATTTGCTAAATTAGATAAAGGATATGGATAGGATATGTCCCAGTACTCTATTTGTCCTTGTATCTGTATAGGTGGCAGAGTACTTACTGGACTGCGCACGCAACGTGAAGCCAGACCTCTACGTGGTGGCCGAGCTGTTCACCAACTCCGACCATGTCGACAACATCTTCGTCAACCGCCTCGGCATCACCTCGCTCATACGAGGTACATACTATACTATATTCGAATTCCTTTGAGTCATAAGGTAAAACAATCATAAAAAGGTTTTTCTGTAGGTCCAATATAATACACATGAAAACATAATTAAAAAAAGTGACATTAATAAGACTTAAAACTGTACCTATTCTCAAACTTGAAATGCATTGAAATATATATTTCTAACACACACCAATTAGTCTATCCCCAAAGCAAGCACTATAAGGCTTGTGTTATGGGATACTAGGGTGCCGGATAGAATACATATACTGTACATAAAGTATATTTATATAGAAATACATTTAAACATCCATGACTGGAGTACAAATGCTCGTATTTATCACACAAACATCTGCCCCCGCCGGGATTCAAACCCGTCGAAAACATTGGTTTATTTGTTTACCTTTTGGCTCAAAAGAAGTTGATTTGAGTATACATATTATATAAACTCATACACACACTTCCATATTAAGTTAATATGACAAATGCGACAGTGAATTCGTTTGTTATTTGTGATGCCTACCACTGAATCGATTATGATGAATTTTGAAGGGGTTAAAATGGGAGATGCAGTTTTGTATAGAAAATTAATTAAGCCACGCAAACGCAGTTGCGGGCTCTCATTAGTGATTTGATAAATAGTTTGGGAAGAAGGGTCTGGCATAGGCGTCTTTGTAACGTGGCCAGCTGGGATAATGTCGCGCTCTGCGATCGAGATCTGGCCCGGGCACAGATGGGTGGGGTGCTGGGGCACTAATGTCGCGGTGTGGTATAGAGGCACAGAGCGCGTGGGACGCGCGGGAGCAGGGCCGGCTGGTGCACCGGTTCGGAGGCCGGCCCGTGGGCTCGTTCCCGAGGCCGGCGGAGCGCCCGGAGCGCGGGTATAGAGGGGTGGGGTGCTGGGGCACTAATGTCGCGGTGTGGTATAGAGGCACAGAGCGCGTGGGACGCGCGGGAGCAGGGCCGGCTGGTGCACCGGTTCGGAGGCCGGCCCGTGGGCTCGTTCCCGAGGCCGGCGGAGCGCCCGGAGCGCGGGTATAGAGGGGTGGGGTGCTGGGGCACTAATGTCGCGGTGTGGTATAGAGGCACAGAGCGCGTGGGACGCGCGGGAGCAGGGCCGGCTGGTGCACCGGTTCGGAGGCCGGCCCGTGGGCTCGTTCCCGAGGCCGGCGGAGCGCCCGGAGCGCGGGTATAGAGGGGTGGGGTGCTGGGGCACTAATGTCGCGGTGTGGTATAGAGGCACAGAGCGCGTGGGACGCGCGGGAGCAGGGCCGGCTGGTGCACCGGTTCGGAGGCCGGCCCGTGGGCTCGTTCCCGAGGCCGGCGGAGCGCCCGGAGCGCGGGTATAGAGGGGTGGGGTGCTGGGGCACTAATGTCGCGGTGTGGTATAGAGGCACAGAGCGCGTGGGACGCGCGGGAGCAGGGCCGGCTGGTGCACCGGTTCGGAGGCCGGCCCGTGGGCTCGTTCCCGAGGCCGGCGGAGCGCCCGGAGCGCGGGTATAGAGGGGTGGGGTGCTGGGGCACTAATGTCGCGGTGTGGTATAGAGGCACAGAGCGCGTGGGACGCGCGGGAGCAGGGCCGGCTGGTGCACCGGTTCGGAGGCCGGCCCGTGGGCTCGTTCCCGAGGCCGGCGGAGCGCCCGGAGCGCGGGTATAGAGGGGTGGGGTGCTGGGGCACTAATGTCGCGGTGTGGTATAGAGGCACAGAGCGCGTGGGACGCGCGGGAGCAGGGCCGGCTGGTGCACCGGTTCGGAGGCCGGCCCGTGGGCTCGTTCCCGAGGCCGGCGGAGCGCCCGGAGCGCGGGTATAGAGGGGTGGGGTGCTGGGGCACTAATGTCGCGGTGTGGTATAGAGGCACAGAGCGCGTGGGACGCGCGGGAGCAGGGCCGGCTGGTGCACCGGTTCGGAGGCCGGCCCGTGGGCTCGTTCCCGAGGCCGGCGGAGCGCCCGGAGCGCCCGGCCGTGGCGCACGCGATGCTGCTGGACCTCACTCATGACAACCCCGCGCCCGCCGTTACCAGGTCAGTACTCTCTATATATATTTATAAATAAATAAAAAAATATATATATATACCTAGTCAGGTCATAAATTCTGTCACATGTTTAATATTTATTTATTTATCAGGCATGCCAACATTTTTACACCCAACATAATTAAAAAAAACATACGTTATACATAAAGTTGTGCAAAAACAGTTACAGGCATACACAACTCTTATTTCTGCCAAAATTAATGATATAAAACTAAACTAGGTATAAAAAAAAACATACATTAAACTAAACTATAATCAAGTGTCACAATCAATGCTCGATAGCAATGCCCTCCTAAATGTAATCAATGACGCAGCGAACAAATCAACGCCTACCAAGAACCCAGTACAGATTTTATTATGTTCTTCACAAATCCTATTTAAAACACTCTGCGTACCCAGGTTGGTTTTATAAGTTTTTAAATTAAATAATTTATAGTTAGCTGGTCTGAAATTTGGTCGTGGTATATTAAAATCAATTTCACTAAGAAGTTGAGGACAATCAATGTTACCTCTCAGAATTTTATACAGTAATATCTGATCAGCAACCCATCTGCGTTTCCGCAATGAAACCAACTCGAAATACCTCAATTTATCCTTATATGAGATGAGTTCATATCTTTTTCCCTGGTGTCTAGTTAGAAAAGACAAAAACTTTTTTTGGATTCTTTCAATCCTGCTTTTATGACACTCATAAAGAGGATTCCAAATAGCAGAACAATACTCCAAGGAACTGCGTACCAAAGCAAAGTATAGAAGTTTCAATGCTTCAACATTTTTAAACCGCTTACAACTACGCCAAAGAAATCCCAGCATTTTTAAACTCTTAGACATAATATGGTCAAAATGATGAGTGAAAAGTAATTTTTTATCCAAAACAATACCGAGATCTTGAATGGACGATACCTCTTCAAGAACTTGGGAATTTATAGAATATGCAGACTTAACCGGAAATCGTTTCTTAGTGAATTTTATATGCTTACATTTGTCAGGATTAAAAGGAAGCATATTTGCGTGTGACCAAGCCGCTGTTTGGTCCAGATCTTTTTGTAAAAGCTCAGCATCATTGGAATTTTGGACAGTTTTGTATATTTTAAGATCGTCGGCAAACAATAAACAACTTGAGTACCTAATAACTCGAACCAGATCGTTTATAAATGCTAGAAAAAAGAGAGGTCCCAAATGTGATCCCTGAGGAACTCCTGAGTAAACCAGAATATAATCAGATTCATATCCACAAGTAACTACTTTTTGATACCTCTCAGAAAGATAAGAATGACACCAGTCTAACAAAGTGCCGTGAACACCTGCCAAGCATAATTTCTTCAGCATTATAGAGTGATTAACCTTATCGAATGCTTTACTTATATCGGTGTACACCGCATCCACCTGTCGACCCTGATCCAGTTCAAAACTTAATTCATTTACATAGCATGTCAGATTTGTAATTGTAGACATCTTTTGACGAAAACCGTGCTGCTGAGGAACGAGGATGGATCCAAGATGATTTGTAAAATATGGGTACACTAATTTTTCAAACAGTTTAGGAAAACTAGATAATAAGGAAATAGGTCTATAATTACGCACGTCGCTCGTATTTCCTGATTTAGGAATTGGTAAGACATTAGCCCATTTCCAAACTAACGGAAAAACACCAGTAGATAAAGAATTATTAAAAATAATATTTAGCGGATATGATAGAGAAGAAGCACAGTTTTTTAGGAATACGGCTGGCACTCCATCCGGACCTGGACCTTTCCTTGGATCAAGATTCTTCATCGCTTTTTCAATGCATTCTACCGGCAGTTATATATTAGAAAGGGAATTATTATTGTCATAAGATGTACTGCCAACGTGTGGCATTAGAATAGCAGGATCATTAGCCACGTATACTGAAGAGAAGTGTTGTGCAAAGGCATTACAAATTGACTGACGAGTATCAAACTTGGTATTATCCAAATGCATTACAGAGGGCATCGTAACGGCTTTCTTGCGATTGTTTTTGACATAGCTCCAGAAGGCTTTAATGTTATTCTTGCTAATAGAGTTTTCAATATTATACAAATATCGACGGTAACATTTTTTTATTAGTAAATGGCATCTATATCTTGCCTCTTTGAACTCAAAATCATCTACAGGATTATTATAAAGCTTTAATCTCTAATAAAATAATTGAAACAAGTTTATTCATTATGTTACCGTTTATATACCAAAATGAACTTAACAAAACATAGATTCCTATGACAATAAAGTTTATTCAAAATGACCTCCGTGATTTTGAATACAGGCCTTCAATCTGCGCGGCCAGTCGTCTATCGCAGCACGAACGAGGTCCATGTCAATATCGGCGGCTGCCTTAATCAAGGATGTCTTGAGTGACTCCAAATTGGGATGAGGCTTTGAGCACGCCTTTTCCTCCAAGTGTTGCCATATCTTGTAATCTAACAGACTCAAATCTGGACTGGAGGAGGGCCTGTCTTCGTGTCGGATGAAGTCGATTTCACGCGCCGAAAGCCAGTCTTGTGTGCTCTTCGCTCTATGAGCTGGCGCCGAATTTTGTTGGAATAGCCAGTGCCTGTTATTGAACATGGTATGAGAAACAGGTTCCACAAGGTTCGTCAGGACTGTATTTTGATACACAACTGCATTCGTTTTTACACCTTTCTCACAAAAATGTACCTCTGTTAAGCCCCAATAAGAAACTCCCAACCATACCATGAGCGAGGATGGAAAATGACCTCGTCAGACACGCGGAATACGGTTGCTCGCTTCTTCACTACTGTGTGCGTACACCTTATCATTTTGTTTGTTGTAGCTCTCTTCTACGGTAAATTTTTTTTCATCCGAAAAAAGAATTTGCCGATATTTTTTTCCCGCATACCGCTTCAACAAAGCGCGGCATCTCTTCAGTCTTAGGTCCATTAGACGATCATTCAAACGATGTCCTATTTTTCTTCGATATGCCCAAAGCCCTAAGTCTTCATTTAACACCCTTTTCACCGTGGTTCTGCTTAACACCATCTAAAGGGCCAACAGTTTCTGCTTACGTTTGGGATTTCTTTGAATTCACGCCTTCACAGCTTTTATCACTGCTGGAGTCCTAACAGACCGAGGGCGACCACTTCTTGACCTGTCATCTACACTAGAGCCTTCATTGTATCGTTTGATGGTACGATAAACGAATCTTTTGGTTATATTCAAATTTTTCAGTATGCCAAAAATTTGAATTGGCGCGTAACCGCAACGATGCAACGCAATAACTACAACACGGTCTCCTTTAAGCGTCTACTCCATATTTAAAAATGAGTAAAATTCTAAAAAGTATACATTTTTATTTTCATGAACAATTCGAAATTAGAATTCAATAAACTTTTTTGTGGCCAGCATTCTAAAAGAGAAGTTTTTACTGTGTGACAATACTTATGACCTGACTGTGTATATCACATAATACCGTCTGTTCTATACGTGTAATCTAAAAATATATTTGATGACGAGAACTCGCTGCCTTACTCCGAATTCCTTTTATTTACACTAGCCAAGCTTGAAAACGAATTAACCGATTTTAACCATATTTTATTATTATTTTCTCATAAGTACTATAGATATAGAAAGTTCTTTACGGTAAATGTGTAAATAATTAAAAAGTCATGAAAACTTAACCAACCTTAACCCAATATGTAAAGCTGCAATTAACAGTCGCTTATTTTATTAATTTCTAGAAACAGTAAAAATCATATTGTCGCACTATTGGATCATCGGCTGACCGACTTGAAACGAGCTTTTTAATTTTTCTTACTCTTTGACTTTGTTGCCAATGATCACTGTGCCATCAGCACAATGTTTATCGCACGTAATATTCGTGATAATTAGATAATAACGTGATGTAATGAGAAATCATCATAAGTTCCTGGTTCGTGACTTTCTGCATTCAGCATATTTCCCCCACTAATTTCTTTGTTTATAGATTAATATGTATACCTGTAATTTTAGTTGTAAAAGCTAGTCAGAAATTAAACTGTAATGCATTGCATGTATACTGAGAGCTATTTGATGATGAGTCAGATTAGAAAACACCTGTCATAAAAATCTTTGAGTACTACAGAATGGGCATTGAATCTTTTGAAGAATTTTTTACAACGTTTAACATGTTTGTTTACCAGGAAACAAAACGGAGAATATGGGTGCTTCCTGATTAGACTCATCATTAAACAGCAGTTTAGTAGCTGCACTGTGGATAACCACAATACAGTTGGTAAAATGCCTTTTATTAATCTATAGCTCACCATAGGATGCATCCAAGATCTGTTTTTCATCCTCTTTTTACGGTCCCTCCGTTCCTAAAGGGTGAAAACGGACCCTATACTAAAAGCCACAATGCGCGCCTAGGCTTAGGCTGCAAACTGAACAATAGTGGCGCGTCAATAAAATATTGTAGTGTCGTGACCTTTGCTAGCATCTCGCTCCCTGTCGTCCAGTTTCCGACCTTACTGCTCCGTTATTGAACTTATATAATAGTCGCGTGCAACGAAATAGAAATAATATCGAGTAGAAATTGTCTTAAAACGTGGCTCTACTCAAACTGCGATCAAGGGGGCGGGGCGAAAAACTGCGATCAAGACATCGATCATGGGATTATCTCACTTCATTTGCAGACATTTGATTTGTCGAAACATTTTATTTTGTCTCCGTGTGGGTCGCGTTAGTATCAATGTTTAGCCGTATGAGTGCGGAGTCCAGTCGGAGAGCACTTGCAGTAATGTCTCGGTTCGGTGTTCGCCAGGAGCGTGTTCGACTACCTGCCGACGGCGGGCATGGTGGCGATGGCGTGCTGCGCCACCGGCAGCACGCGCGGATACGACGAGCTCGTGCCGCACCACGTTAGTATTACCTTAATGCAAATGCAATGGAAACTATATTGCATTATATTGATAAAACAATCACAATAGGTTGAGGTTAGGTAAGTTGATTAATGGTATCATTTAGTGGCTATTTGATTGAAAAACTGATAAATTCTATCAAAGTAACAATTACATGAATGACAAATCAATCAAATCTATTAAAACGTGAACTACGAGTAATGTTTTACACGGTGTGACGTCAGTCCTCCGTATTGGTGTTTACTGTCACATGACCTAATGTCTATTTTTACCGAATTTATTTTCTAAAAATAATAAGTTTCTTTAATTATTATGATAAATAACTTTAATTTTTGTTATCTGGGTATCTTAATTAGAAACTATAACCCATCCGATTTATTGTTAGTGGACACGAGCCTATTAAAATGATTAAATTGTCGTTGGTAAAGTGACGCATCTTGGTGTATCCAGATCCACGTTGTGGACGAGACGCGGCTGTACCCCGAGTGGGTCGACGGTGGGTTCGTTCTGACCGAGGCCAGGCGGACCCTCAACCAGCTGCATCTACAGCTGGCCTGCGAGGGATACAGCGAGCTGTACGTCGACCAGCTGGACGACCACTGTGTCGCCATCACGCGACACCACCCCCTCACCAGGAAGGTAACAGTACACCTGCAGCTGGCCTGCGAGGGATACAGCGAGCTGTACGTCGACCAGCTGGACGACCACTGTGTCGCCATCACGCGACACCACCCCCTCACCAGGAAGGTAACAGTACACCTGCAGCTGGCCTGCGAGGGATACAGCGAGCTGTACGTCGACCAGCTGGACGACCACTGTGTCGCCATCACGCGACACCACCCCCTCACCAGGAAGGTAACAGTACACCTGCAGCTGGCCTGCGAGGGATACAGCGAGCTGTACGTCGACCAGCTGGACGACCACTGTGTCGCCATCACGCGACACCACCCCCTCACCAGGAAGGTAACAGTACACCTGCAGCTGGCCTGCGAGGGATACAGCGAGCTGTACGTCGACCAGCTGGACGACCACTGTGTCGCCATCACGCGACACCACCCCCTCACCAGGAAGGTAACAGTACACCTGCAGCTGGCCTGCGAGGGATACAGCGAGCTGTACGTCGACCAGCTGGACGACCACTGTGTCGCCATCACGCGACACCACCCCCTCACCAGGAAGGTAACAGTACACCTGCAGCTGGCCTGCGAGGGATACAGCGAGCTGTACGTCGACCAGCTGGACGACCACTGTGTCGCCATCACGCGACACCACCCCCTCACCAGGAAGGTAACAGTACACCTGCAGCTGGCCTGCGAGGGATACAGCGAGCTGTACGTCGACCAGCTGGACGACCACTGTGTCGCCATCACGCGACACCACCCCCTCACCAGGAAGGTAACAGTACACCTGCAGCTGGCCTGCGAGGGATACAGCGAGCTGTACGTCGACCAGCTGGACGACCACTGTGTCGCCATCACGCGACACCACCCCCTCACCAGGAAGGTAACAGTACACCTGGAGCTGGCCTGCGAGGGATACAGCGAGCTGTACGTCGACCAGCTGGACGACCACTGTGTCGCCATCACGCGACACCACCCCCTCACCAGGAAGGTAACAGTACACCTGCAGCTGGCCTGCGAGGGATACAGCGAGCTGTACGTCGACCAGCTGGACGACCACTGTGTCGCCATCACGCGACACCACCCCCTCACCAGGAAGGTAACAGTACACCTGCAGCTGGCCTGCGACCCATACAGCGAGCTGTACGTCGACCAGCTGGACGACCACTGTGTCGCCATCACGCGACACCACCCCCTCACCAGGAAGGTAACAGTACACCTGCAGCTGGCCTGCGACCCATACAGCGAGCTGTACGTCGACCAGCTGGACGACCACTGTGTCGCCATCACGCGACACCACCCCCTCACCAGGAAGGTAACAGTACACCTGCAGCTGGCCTGCGACCCATACAGCGAGCTGTACGTCGACCAGCTGGACGACCACTGTGTCGCCATCACGCGACACCACCCCCTCACCAGTAAGGTACAATTATAATGCGAAACAACTAAATTTACTTATGGGAAATAGCGAATATGCATGTTTTTTAATACCTTTGTTTTGCAGTTTCAATCTACTTACTGTAGTTTAAAAATATTTAACATCAAAAAATATTAGTGTGTAAAAAAATATAAGTAATAGCCCAGTTTAATATCTACTAATACTCAAAGAGGTTGTAGATCATAACTGATTTCCACCCAGTTCAGTGATATTAAATACCCTAGATGCACCACGTGCGCTCAAAATGTGTCCCAATCATGAAGTACTTGAACACCACTCAAGCACTTCTTGGTTCACAGTCACGCGTGGACCGTTGAAAAGTCAAGATACCGCAGAGGTCATTGAAAAATGCAAAAAAAATAATATAGTACGTAACGTGTCGTTTTTTCGACAGGTATCTAATCAATAAGGTGTATAATCTGCCGCTTATAGCAATAAGTCGTAAAATTTTACAAGCTTGCATGTCGAACTGTCATTTATCATTGATGCATGCGTTTTAATTAAGACCTTATATATTATGCATTAAAGGTGACTTTTATTGTCTAAATAATGCAGTATGTTAGTGACTTCCCGATCACCTTATGGAGTTCCGTGGATCTAATGTACCTTTTGGACAGGTTTCGGCCACGATTTTGTTTGTGTTGTTGTATCTAGAGTATATAATATCGTTGATAATTTTATAAGTATTCGTTCTACTTTATTTGTTTCTAATCTGTTTAAACAACACGTTTATTGATCGTGTATTAAATTAATTAAATAAATAAAAAAAAATGGTTGCCTGTAAAGTCGGTTTTACGGGCGAAGATTTTACGTGACAACGTCTTTTTCTCGGTAGAATATTTATTGATATGAATATAATTAAATTGCACAATAGGAACAAGGAATTGAATGAAAATAAGAATTGCACAAATTTTAACTATAGAAATATATTTTGTTTACTAAAACATTGTACATGTAAACTTAAACTTAACACGAGAGACTCATCGTAACGTTACCGAGCGTTACACTTTTTCATAAGTGTCTCCCAGCCGCAACCTAATTTAAGACGTTGTCACGTCAAAATAAAATTAATTAAATGATATGGCAATGACAACAGTAGCAAAAACGAGTTTTTACTTTCATATATACGAGCGGCTTGCAACCAACAGCAGCCGTCGCCACTTTTCAATGGCAGCCGGTCAGTTGGCGACCGCTGACGTCGGTTACGAGTTACGCGTTTATAAGCTGTAGCAGTAACATTTTGAATAAAATCATAGGCTTAAAAAATGCGCAGTACTTTTTTTTATATTATACGCTACTATGCACTGCTTTTTCATTTTGAACGTTGTCTTTGGTTTATGATCTAAATATTTACCAGAGTGTAAAAGCCTGTAAAGAAAAAAAGTCCCGACGGCTTTAAGATGCGGTTTTAGTATTTTATTTTACAGAACTCGATGCGATACGATATCCTTTTCAGGATGCATCGTCTAAGGAATATGATTTTTTGAGTAAAAATCGTTGGAAATATTGTTTTATTTATTACTAGCGGCCCGCCCTCGCTTCGCTTCGGTGTAGAGCTGAAGTTTTACACTATAGTTTTTTTTCTCAGGCTTGTATTATACACAATGACATTCATCTATGATTCTTCTTATACCTGCATGCAAAGTCTCAGCCCGATCGGTTTAAAATTGACAAAGTTTCATACAAACTTTCATTCCCTATTTTATCCCCGTGGGGGTAGAATTGATCAAAATCCTTTCTTAGCGGATGCCTACGTTATAACATCTACCTGCATGCCAAATTTCAGCCCAGTGGTTTGGGCTGTGCGTTGATAGATCACTATGTCAGTCAGTCCCCTTTGACTTTTATATACATATATAGATAAAAACGGTAATTTTTATTACCTGTATTTATAATCAAACTAAAATTCTCATATTTACGTGATATCTTTTTTTATTGAATAGGTAATAATGTTAACTTTTTTAAATTAGGGATGAGTGAGAGTATTATAAACGTAAGAGTAAACAAATATAATCAGAATGCTCCAAACTGCTAAACTATGAGGAGTAACACGTGTTATTGTGAGTCAACCATAAAAGATAGACATATGCTGTTGCGGGATATTTTTAGACAATTTTATGTAGAATATTTCCGTCATACATGATTTCTATGTAACTTTAACTATTAAGGCTGCACACGCGACGGAAGCTGAAAAAATGGAGTAACTTCTCCCGTTTTCCCAACATTTCCCTTCACTACTCTGCTCCTATTGATTGTAGCGTGATGAAAAGTATACTATAACCTGCCCAGGAGTATGAAGAATAATTGTACCAAGTTTCGTTAAAATCAGTCGAGTAGTTTTTGTTTCTATAAGGAACATACACACAGACAGACAGACAGACAGACAGACAAAATTTTTACTGATTGCATTTTTGGCATCAGTATCGATCACTAATCACCCCCTGATAGTTATTTTGAAATTATATTTCATGTACAGAATTGACCTCTCTACCGATTTATTATAAGTATAGATGAGGTTTGTGTGAGAATTAAAGAAACAAATATGATGTTAATTGTTATCACGTTGGTCAGTCGGTGGTGCTGGTGGCGGTGACGGCGTTCAGCCACCCCGGGTCGGACGGCGACGGGGCGCGCGACGTGCCGCCGCTGAGGGTGGAGGGGCAGCTCGACGAGATACTCTTCGAGATGGATCTGCGGCACAAGGACCACAAGTACGATTACAATGTCAAAACTTCTCGTTTCAATAAAAATGGTTAAACTATGGGTATAAAAATATGTTATAAAGCACCTGACAATATGACAATATTAAGCAACTACCCTGCAGCAGATTCAGAATAGTATTGATAAATTGGAATATTGAATGGATGTCGATTTTGGATTTATTTTATTTTGGATATACCATATGCAAATGAAGAGCTATTCTTTTCTACACCTATCTGATGATGATGCGCTTCATTTGCACTATTTACAACATTAACACTAACATGGAAACAATCACAGTGATGTCTACTTACATATCAACAGAAAGGAGATTCATGCACTATTAAATAGATCACTCGAACGTCCCGATATTTTTATTATAAAAATACTACAGATATTTATAAGTTGCCGGTTAAGATCTGGCTCTGGTAAAGGGTGTTATGGCGATTTTAAATAACTTGGACTGTAACCGGGTAAAACTTACTATTCGATAAAAGAAATCAGATATCAAAAAGCGACTTGAAGTTAAAATAATAGAATCTGAACTCCGCTGCGGCCGTTCGTCCCTCGGTTTGATGGTCTCTCCTCCAGTACGTCTTCTCCTGCGCGTAAGAATAAAAGTACGCAGCCGTCGCGCTCAGGCGCAGTCTGCTCAGAACGGGGCGTAACTATTACCTCGCACACATAATCAGTACATTAACAGGCATTCTCACACAGTTTTTAGTAGAATTCATTCGCGACTGGCGGCGTGCGTCGTTTCAATCATTAACGCTAAACATTATTTTTACTATGACGATAGCCATCTTCTCGAACACTCTCTCATTTTGTGATATTATAAATTTCCGCCGTAAGAATGAATAAAGAAACAATATTTTTTCGTTGGATTTATCCCGATGATCCGTTCGCAGGACCGGCGGCAACCCCCTACAGAGGGTCGAATCGTTCAATCGGCACGCGCACATCATCTACGGACACACGGAGTACGAGGCCGTAGTGCGCAGGAACCTGGCGCTCGCGCACTCCGGCATGATCGCCGACCAGCGCGGGGACGGCGCGCGGACCGAGCTGCGGTTCAAGCGGCTGCTGCCCGGCACTGTGGTTAGTACCGCGACACGACACGTTATATGACCGGCATGATCGCCGACCAGCGCGGGGACGGCGCGCGGACCGAGCTGCGGTTCAAGCGGCTGCTGCCCGGCACTGTGGTTAGTACCGCGACACGACACGTTATATGACCGGCATGATCGCCGACCAGCGCGGGGACGGCGCGCGGACCGAGCTGCGGTTCAAGCGGCTGCTGCCCGGCACTGTGGTTAGTACCGCGACACGACACGTTATATGACCGGCATGATCGCCGACCAGCGCGGGGACGGCGCGCGGACCGAGCTGCGGTTCAAGCGGCTGCTGCCCGGCACTGTGGTTAGTACCGCGACACGACACGTTATATGACCGGCATGATCGCCGACCAGCGCGGGGACGGCGCGCGGACCGAGCTGCGGTTCAAGCGGCTGCTGCCCGGCACTGTGGTTAGTACCGCGACACGACACGTTATATGACCGGCATGATCGCCGACCAGCGCGGGGACGGCGCGCGGACCGAGCTGCGGTTCAAGCGGCTGCTGCCCGGCACTGTGGTTAGTACCGCGACACGACACGTTATATGACCGGCATGATCGCCGACCAGCGCGGGGACGGCGCGCGGACCGAGCTGCGGTTCAAGCGGCTGCTGCCCGGCACTGTGGTTAGTACCGCGACACGACACGTTATATGACCGGCATGATCGCCGACCAGCGCGGGGACGGCGCGCGGACCGAGCTGCGGTTCAAGCGGCTGCTGCCCGGCACTGTGGTTAGTACCGCGACACGACACGTTATATGACCGGCATGATCGCCGACCAGCGCGGGGACGGCGCGCGGACCGAGCTGCGGTTCAAGCGGCTGCTGCCCGGCACTGTGGTTAGTACCGCGACACGACACGTTATATGACCGGCATGATCGCCGACCAGCGCGGGGACGGCGCGCGGACCGAGCTGCGGTTCAAGCGGCTGCTGCCCGGCACTGTGGTTAGTACCGCGACACGACACGTTATATGACCGGCATGATCGCCGACCAGCGCGGGGACGGCGCGCGGACCGAGCTGCGGTTCAAGCGGCTGCTGCCCGGCACTGTGGTTAGTACCGCGACACGACACGTTATATGACCGGCATGATCGCCGACCAGCGCGGGGACGGCGCGCGGACCGAGCTGCGGTTCAAGCGGCTGCTGCCCGGCACTGTGGTTAGTACCGCGACACGACACGTTATATGACCGGCATGATCGCCGACCAGCGCGGGGACGGCGCGCGGACCGAGCTGCGGTTCAAGCGGCTGCTGCCCGGCACTGTGGTTAGTACCGCGACACGACACGTTATATGACCGGCATGATCGCCGACCAGCGCGGGGACGGCGCGCGGACCGAGCTGCGGTTCAAGCGGCTGCTGCCCGGCACTGTGGTTAGTACCGCGACACGACACGTTATATGACCGGCATGATCGCCGACCAGCGCGGGGACGGCGCGCGGACCGAGCTGCGGTTCAAGCGGCTGCTGCCCGGCACTGTGGTTAGTACCGCGACACGACACGTTATATGACCGGCATGATCGCCGACCAGCGCGGGGACGGCGCGCGGACCGAGCTGCGGTTCAAGCGGCTGCTGCCCGGCACTGTGGTTAGTACCGCGACACGACACGTTATATGACCGGCATGATCGCCGACCAGCGCGGGGACGGCGCGCGGACCGAGCTGCGGTTCAAGCGGCTGCTGCCCGGCACTGTGGTTAGTACCGCGACACGACACGTTATATGACCGGCATGATCGCCGACCAGCGCGGGGACGGCGCGCGGACCGAGCTGCGGTTCAAGCGGCTGCTGCCCGGCACTGTGGTTAGTACCGCGACACGACACGTTATATGACCGGCATGATCGCCGACCAGCGCGGGGACGGCGCGCGGACCGAGCTGCGGTTCAAGCGGCTGCTGCCCGGCACTGTGGTTAGTACCGCGACACGACACGTTATATGACCGGCATGATCGCCGACCAGCGCGGGGACGGCGCGCGGACCGAGCTGCGGTTCAAGCGGCTGCTGCCCGGCACTGTGGTTAGTACCGCGACACGACACGTTATATGACCGGCATGATCGCCGACCAGCGCGGGGACGGCGCGCGGACCGAGCTGCGGTTCAAGCGGCTGCTGCCCGGCACTGTGGTTAGTACCGCGACACGACACGTTATATGACCGGCATGATCGCCGACCAGCGCGGGGACGGCGCGCGGACCGAGCTGCGGTTCAAGCGGCTGCTGCCCGGCACTGTGGTTAGTACCGCGACACGACACGTTATATGACCGGCATGATCGCCGACCAGCGCGGGGACGGCGCGCGGACCGAGCTGCGGTTCAAGCGGCTGCTGCCCGGCACTGTGGTTAGTACCGCGACACGACACGTTATTCTATTTATAAATGAATAAGTGAATAATAATTAATTAAAATTAATTGGCTGTCTGAAAAAAATATCTCTCTTTTTAGCATGTTTTTGGCTCGCGACGGTCACACACATGCGTCATCTAATGCGATTTAAATTAAACGCATCTGTAATATGAATAGCTTTCGCTTGGTCTTTGAAGATATGCCTTGTACTATGTACCGGCCCTCGTCCTCAGGTGGCGGTGCGGGTGTCGCCGTGGGCCGCGCAGCAGACGACGCTGGGCGCGCTCAACGCGCTGGTGGCCCGCATACACGCCCCGCGTGGGGCAGGACGGGGGGACGCTGACCCACTGGGGCTCGGGCCCGCCCTGCGCGACCTGCAGCTGGGGGACTTCCACGCGCTGCTGTACCGCTGCGACGCCGAGGAGCGCGACGCGGGCTGCGGCGGCGTCTACACCGTGCCGGGACACGGCCCGCTTGTCTACGCCGGCTTGCAGGTCATTATTGTTTTCTCTGCGACGGCGATTTCCAGAGGGAGCTGGCCGATAGACACGTTTATAATTGTTTTTGGACTAATTGAAAGGAGTTCATATTATTTAACGCTTAAAAAAGACAAAGCAATGATATTGAAAATTTATCCAATATCGATCTTCAATTTGATTTCTAAGTTGTATAATAAAGATTTGTCTTTTCTAAATTTCTTTTTTGTTCCAATGAATCAGAATAAATTTAGCAAGAATGACTTTAATCAGTTGTTTTGCATATCAATGATTTAACAAATCAAATTACTGTGTCGCTATTTTTATTATTTAAATTAATTTGAGCAGTGCATTTAATAGAGTCGATCACAACATCCTATTGTCGAAACTAAAGCGTGACAATGTTTGTAGAATTCCGTCGTTTCAACTTTGCTTTTACTATGAATATTTGCCGTTAAGGATGACCATGAATCGTCACAGAACAAAATCTTATCGGGAGTTTCGCAGGGTTTAATCTCGGGACCGATTCTGTTTCTCGTTTTTATTAACGAAATTTGTGATAAAATCCGTTTCCGTGTGAACATCGACACCGTTTGCGATACCACCAGGGCGTCGCATCGCTCCTGGAGACGGTGTGCGCGAACGACGACCTGTCGCACCCGGTGTGCGACAACCTGCGCGCCGGGGACTGGCTGCTGGAGTACCAGTGGGCGCGGCTGGAGCGCGACCCCAAGCTTGCGGCCCTGGCGCGCCGATACCAACAAATACTGCGCCCCGTCACGGACCTGCCGAGGTATTTATTTATTTAGTTTTTACACAATACTATGATCTATAAAAATAAGAATTACATAAATTAGTATACGATAAACTATACGCATACGCAACTTGTATTTTAGATACGGTAGAAACATACATAATCTGGAAAAGATTGTGATTGTAGGCTCTTAATCTTTTATAAAAAAAAGCGGCCAAGTGCGAGTCGGATTCGGCCATGGAGGGTTCCGTAGCAGCAAGTGACATAATATAAAAGTATTTGTAGTTCGTTGTGACTTTGATTGATGTTTTAATAATAGTGTATTTTTTTAAATTAATTAATTATTAAAAAAACTACTTACTAGATTTCGTTCTAACCGATTTTCGGTGGAAATTTGCATGTTAATGTACATCATATATTTTTTTAGTTTTATCATTCTCTTGTTTTAGAAGTTATAGGAGGGGGGAGGGGGAGATGAGGACATACAGATTTTACAACTTTGATGTTAGAAACCTTAATATCATAGATATCCCATATTTATGGGTTTGATGAAAAAAGAAATCCTAATGCGGTTTACGGAATACGTCTACATACCAAGTTACAACAATATAGTTATTATAGTTACGGAAAAAAGTGGTTGTGACTTACGGACGAAGAGATAGATATGACGAATTTATAAAATATACAGATTCGAATAACCATATGACGATTCTGGCATGATTCTCTAAACTTAAAACTAAATATAACATCAGTTTCTCATTTTCATTTCGTATAGTATATAACAAGGATGCACCGTTTGTAGGGTGTAAGTCCCACAAATTAATGTAAAATAAAAGAGAAGAATAAATTTCGTAATATATTAAAACTGGTAAAAAATGGTAAATGGTAATGGTATGAGCACATTCGTTTTGAATGGTGTTCTAATGTGTACCAACTTAAATAAATTATAATTAAAATTATTGCACAAAATAAACTGGGTCAATAAGTAAACTGATGACCGCGCGCTATCGATTGATTTCGTTAGTTCATTGACATACGAAACAAGATTGGTTGCTGTTGATTTATTTTTACAGAATCCGTGCTGGTTTGCATGAATGATGTTTTTAAAATGGGAAGTTAAAAACGGGCAGATAATTTTTTCAAATAACTTTGATATTGCATTCAGAATAGATATTGGGCGGTAGTTTTTAACGTTATTATTATCACCTTTTTTGAAGACTGGAATGATATCAGCCTCCTTAAGCAAATCCGGAAAAACACCCGTAGCAATGGATTTAGCTAATATGATTTTAAGTGGCAGGGCAATGTATTTAGCGGTTCTTTTAAGAAATAGTGGCGGAATGCCGTCAGGACCTGCTCCTTTACTCTCGTCAATTTTGGATAAGATCTTAGTGATCATGCGTTCGGATATAGCAACATTACCGATAGATAGCTGGGGATAGTCATTATCATTAACTAAATCACTGGGTATGGAATCTAGTTTCTGGGTATAGACCGAGGAGAAGTGTGTTGCGAAAAGATCACATATTTCGTTACCGGTAGAAGCTGAAGCCGTGTTGAGATGCATTTCACCAGTAATGTTAGATTTACCACCGCGGAGATCCTTCACGTACGACCAAATTTTTTTAGGATTTTGCCTAATCGAGTCCTCCGCCCCATCTAGATATGCAGTATAACATTTTTTTATCATTTGGTCCACTCGCTTATTGGCAAGCTTAAGTTCAAATGAGTCTCGCTGGTTGTTATATTTTTTGAAACGGCACCTAATATTATCACGTTCAGATATTAAGTTAGTTAAAGCGCGAGTGAACCATTTAGGATATTTTCTACGGCGGATAATAAGTTTGGGGATATTAGAATGAATAATGTTATTGAGGATGGAATAAAATTTACGCATCATGACATTGACATCCTCGCCCCCCAGCTCAGACTCCCAGTTCACATTATACAATTTTTCATTTATAACTGGATAATTAGCTCTTTTGAAATTAAGAATAGGAGTAAATTTACTTACAAGACTCGTCACAACCTTTACATCAAGATCCGCTAAGAGAGCAGAGTGATGAGCATCAATTTTGCTTAAAATGTCTGAGGATTATTGTCTTTAAATGTCTAAGTCTAGGATTCTGTTGTTGGCATTTTTTACAAAGTTAAATTGTTCTATACTGCTGTAAGACATAAAATCGACCAGGGCATAACCAAGCGGACTATTGTAGTTTGACGGAGTCAACCCACCAGCAGTCTCATCTGGAGACCAATCTATAAAACCTAGGTTAAAATCACCGAAAATCATAGTCCTGCTCGAGTTTGTATTAACTACAGAGCTGATGTTATCCAGTACCGAAGCGAGTACGCCAAGTGATACAGGTGGAGGCACGTAGACACCGCAAATTAAAAAGTCTTCTACCGTATTATTGATTATGACTCTAATAGATACCCATAAGTCTTCGTTTCTACTTTCGTAGTGCTGAATGCGGGCTGACTGGATATGTTTCGATACAGCAATTAGCACCCCACCACCTCTTTTAGATAAAGAGGATGTTGATTGGCGGTCTCTTCTGTAAATGGTATACTTGTCGCTCAGAAGTTCGTTGTCGTTGATGGTGTCATCCAGCCAAGTCTCAGTTGCGATTATGATGTCATAAGATATTGCCAAAGAAGCGAGCCTGATGTCAAGTAGCTTAGTGCGCATGCCACGGAGGTTTTGGTAGTAGACGGTGAATTTTGCAGTAGTTGATACGGCAATGTAATCGTACAGTTCTGAAAAGGCTACAACTGCTTCAGTCATTCGCCGACTTAACCTGCCCAGCCGGTGATTCATCATTCTTGCGTATAAAGATTCGCCCATTCCGTATCCAAACATATTTATAGCCTTTTTCTCTTGCTATTTTTCTGGTTTCCGCGTGCAGCTCTGTATAATACGGGCAGAGATGCTCAGAAACATAGACAGCTATTTTGTCACAACCATAGCCCAGTTGCACGGTGTTAAGCTTATCTTTTGGGTTGGCCTTATTAAACTTTGATACCGCAGCTATGATATTATCTCTTGTGCGAGTATTTGGCAATTTTACTATTATTGATAGAGGTCTCTTGCTAGTGCTGTCAAGTTTTCTCACTCTGGTACATGCAATAATATCAGTCTCTTCGATGGACAAGAAATTACTGTTCCTATTTGCTTCACCAATGAAAGTATGTTTTGAAATTTATTTTCTGGAACGCCGTTGATTTCGATATTATTTTGTCGACAGTGCTGTTCTATTCGGTTCAATCTAGATGATAAATCACGAATAGTATCGGCCTGCTCAAAGTTCTGTTTTTCCAAGGAAGATATCTTATCGGTATTGGTTTTTAAGTTTGCTTTTATAGCGTCATAATCGTCACTCAGGAAGACAATTGAGTTTTTTAACTCTTTCAATGCATTGAGTTCCTTTTTGATGTCACGAAGTTCGCTCTCAAAGTTTTTCATAGAAGACTTCATTGCTTCTTTGATGGTTAATTGAATTTCCTGTTTAATAAAAGCTAACAGGTTTGGATCTAATTGTGAAGAAGAAGGTGTGATTTCAGTTGAAACTTCTTTTGAGTTATCATGAACGTTGCTGTCTAACTTGGAACTCCGTATTGGTGTGTCAGAGTTATCACCACCTTTTGGCTGCATATTTTTACAGACTGGGCACTTCCAGGCGTTCTTGGATTCTTTGGACAGTTTCTTGAAATTTTTCTTGCTTATATTAACGCATATGTAGTGATACGTCCCAGAACATTTCGAACATGTAATCACATTCGAAGCAGAGACAATTTTTTTACAACCACCACACGTGCTCATTGTTGCAAATTTTTCCCGAACATGGTAGAACTTTTGGGATATGGCAACTCTATTTGTTTATGGCGAGTTGTCAAGATGAGGTGACAGCTTGTCAATCGAATATGACGCTTCCTGCTATTAGGATTAGGCGGTAGAAAGAAAAAAAAATACGAGTCGAAATGATAGACGAGTTATAAATCACCAAATCCTTTGTTTTGCTTGTGAATAACACTCGTATTAGTTAATCGTATAACACTTCACCGTTTGAACTCCTATTAGCGACGATATTACGAGTAAACTAAAAAATATCTAAACAAAAGTGAAGACTGAGTAAGCACCGCGAAAAGCAGTCTGACGTTTATTTGCACTCTGTTACAATTTATACGGAACGAAAAAGAAAGACTAACGTTAAATTTACTTTCAACTCACGAGAACGGTCCCCGAATCGACACGATGTTTTTTACAAGCTCACATGTTTTGCAGCAAACGAGGGTGAACCTTCCGCATATGAGTCGTTCGACAGGTACCTGGTGCCCGCGTACGCGGCCGCGCTGGTGCTGGCGATGCACGCGGCCGTGTCGGGCGCGGCGCTGGCCCGCATGAGCGGCGCCGCCCGCGCCGGACAATGGGCGCGCGCGCTGGCGCTCACCAGCGTGCAGCTCGCGGGGCCGGTGTCGTCCGCCGCGCTGCCGGCGCCGTCGCCCGCGCTGCCGCCGCCGCGGCCCCCGCCGCACGCCATGTCGGCCGGCCCTGCCGCACTTCACCGTCGGCTACATGCGCTGCTGGGGCCGCGACACCTTCATCGCGCTCCGGGGACTCTGTCTGCTGACGGGCCGATACCAGGCGAGTGTTGTAGTTGTAGTGCGCGGCGCTGGCCCGCATGAGCGGCGCCGCCCCTCACCAGCGTGCAGCTCGCGGGGCCGGTGTCGTCCGCCGCGCTGCCGGCGCCGTCGCCCGCGCTGCCGCCGCCGCGGCCCCCGCCGCACGCCATGTCGGCCGGCCTGCCGCACTTCACCGTCGGCTACATGCGCTGCTGGGGCCGCGACACCTTCATCGCGCTCCGGGGACTCTGTCTGCTGACGGCGGCCCCTCACCAGCGTGCAGCTCGCGGGGCCGGTGTCGTCCGCCGCGCTGCCGGCGCCGTCGCCCGCGCTGCCGCCGCCGCGGCCCCCGCCGCACGCCATGTCGGCCGGCCTGCCGCACTTCACCGTCGGCTACATGCGCTGCTGGGGCCGCGACACCTTCATCGCGCTCCGGGGACTCTGTCTGCTGACGGGCCGATACCAGGCGAGTGTTGTAGAGCGGGCGCGGCGCTGGCCCGCATGAGCGGCGCCGCCCGCGCCGGACGGTCCGCGCGCGCGCTGGCGCTCACCAAAAAAATTGCCCAACTCTCGTCCGTTTGGAGCGTCAACGTGTACTTTGAATCTGGAAAACGCCGAGCTCGCAATTTACCGCTGGCACACATGAATGGTAATTTAAATCGAAAAACTTTTTATTAAAAAAAATTAACCGCTGAAAAGTTATTTTTTTTTTCATCTTTTGTATAATTAATGTTTCGATTAGATCAGATCTATCAAAGGATAGGAAAAAAAACATTAATTAGATTTAACTTTTTGAAGTTTAAAAGTTTAAAAAAAAATATTACTATAATTTTTGTAATATACAACTCGGCATCAAAATTTGTAAATGAATAATCACCCCGTTTTCCCACCCTTAAGGTAGTTCTTTTTTTTTCAAATTAATGTGAGACCAGCTTTGATGTATCTCCTTTCAATAAAAAAAATCAAAACACACTACCTACTCTGTTAAAAAGTTATGTGTGGTCGCACATTACAATCAGTGAGTGAACAATTAATCATCCCCTATTTTCATACTCTTAAGGTTAGTTTTTTTCCAAATTTATATGGGACCAATTATCTCAAAATCGAATTTCTTTGTAAAAATTTATGCATGCTCATACATAAAAAAATATATACGCATGCGTCTGAGAACTGCCCCTGTTTTTTTCGTCGGTTAAAAATGAGAATATATGTATTTTGGAACAAGAATATATTTTTTTTTCGTTTTTGAAGTGAAATTTTCTTTTACGGTGTTATAAACTTTTTTGTAATGAGTAAAAAATGTTAAACCCTTATCAGGACACGTGACTTGATCGAAAATTCGTAAGACGAAAACAATAAAATCGGAAAGGTTGTTGACTTTCAATATATTGGATGAAACTTAGTAATATTTTATTTTATCGTATTATAATAATAAGTCTCTTAATAGGACGTCCAGGTGGCAGCTTTATTGTGAAGATTTTTTTACAATAGATGTCGCTAAGTGCGCTTAAATGTGATTCATGTAAGTTGATGTTTCTGAGAGATAAACTTTTTAATGTAATATAAATTGTCATGTATTCTACCACATAAATGAAAGTACTTTTATGCTGATAATTTTTAAAGCAATTCATACAAAATTATTCCCTAGCCATTCCAAAATATCAAAAATGCACAACGTTAATATTCAAGTTTTCACTTCTGCCGGCATTCCCGAAGTGCAACCCGTTGATTTTTTTAACCGGATCGATCGTGTAATCAGTAATTAAATTCGCTTATTTTTAATATATTTGTGTATAACATTTTATTCTTATACAACTATAAGTCATGTCATTTTTGAAATATGTCTCAAATGTTAAAACCTTAAAAATCAATAAAGTTATGTTTAATGCGGTTATTGCAGGAGGCGCGCGCGCACATCCTGGGGTTCGCGGCGACGGTGCGCCACGGGCTCGTGCCCAACCTGCTGGACGGCGGCCACAACGCGCGCTACAACTGCCGCGACGCCGTCTGGTGGTGGCTCTATTCCATACAACAGGTGCCGCAGTCCATTGCAATTGAATACAATATATTTTACTAACCCTCATTTACACATTTACTAACCAGTACCCTTTTTTTTTTAATGTTGGGAAAATACGTTAAGCATACCCCGCCCTGGGTGAGTGGCGGGGTTGTGTGGGACTCCTCCTCCCCCCAAATCCCGCCCACCCGTCCAGCCAGACTGCCCGGCTCGGCGGCTGCTCGGGATGAGGGGGAGCTCTACTACCCACTAAAACTCAACAGTCCTCCCTCGTCTGCCGAAACGGGTTTTGTGGGATCGGGATGACGCTCCACGTTACCCCGGCAGGGATTCCTCCTCCTCCTGCCGGTCAGGGGGATGCCCGGGAGCACCTAGGTGAGACTGTGCAATGCGAGCGACGTAGCACCCTGTCCGCCGCCCGCAGTCCCAGTAGGGTGGAAAGAGGCGGTCGTACCGCCGCCGCCTTCCGACCGGGGGGGGGGGGGGGGGGTCGTCGGCGACGGAGAGGGCCGGCCCGGGCGTCCCCCTCGCGGGCCCTCTCCGCTGTCTCCTTCTGTAGGATCACTTTCTCACAGAAGGAGACGACCGCGTTCCAGGATCTGTCGCTGTCCAGCATCGCTTTAACGACGCTGGGCAACGAGAGATCCCTTCCTACTGCCATGACCATATCATGGCGCTGCCGAGACCGCGACGAGCACTCCTCGAGGGCGTGCTGTGCCGTGTCCCCGACAGCGCCACAATGATGGCATGACGGGGTCGCTTCCCTCCGTATGCGGTGCAGGTAGCTGCCGAAACATCCATGCCCTGACAGCTCCTGCACCAGACGGAAGGTCGGCGACCACTAACCAGTACCCTGCCTCAGCATTAGCTGATGCGCCATTGTGTCGCACCAGCGCTGTTATTCTGGTGGCTGTTTAGTGTCACAAAAAAAGCCGTAATTTTTTTTTTCATTACATGAAAGGATGTATAGGCCCAACATCTTTTACTTTCAAATAACAATATTTTATAATTACAATTACATTCTCACTTTGTAGTGTATTTTCAAAAAGTTATGGTGGTTCCGTATAAAAACTACGATAATGTAACCCAACGTGTGTAATAAACTCCAAAATGCCTGCCGATTTGCACGTGTAATCGAAATCTGCGTGTGTTGTCCCGAGAAAAGGTATATCGTACGGGAGAAGCCATGTTTCCTGTAATGCAACTATGTCCGCAGAATCGCATAGCTGTTCTATACACTTAATTGATCTTTTAACACTTACAGTTAAAACTTACCAGCTTACAATTATTCACCTTGGTTTTATAAAAAAATATATTTATTTTCGTCTCGCCGTAAGGCGCCAACTAATCGTCTAAATGTCATAATCTTAAGGCCATCATTTTATATGCATCATACTCTCGTTCTACCTTAGTTACAGTTAAAACATGTTACAGTTTCTTTAGAAAAGACAAAGCAAAAACTGTAACTTGTTTTCTGTAAAAGGTAATTAGCTATGTCTTCAGCCGATTCACACTTATCCATATTATTTATGAACATTGGGACTTTAACGTCTGCAGCTTTGAATTTTACTTCAGAATTAATTATGCCTCTCCCTTTGCAGTCTCCAACCTATTTCTTAATCTTCGCCACTGCACTACTGTCCTTTCTTCGCTGGGTTTTTTATCCCTCCATTCTCCGTTTTTGCTGAGTAGGATAGCGGCCTGGAGTTACTATGATTCTCAATAGCAAGGAGAGTTTCACATACTCTCGTGCGTATAGGTCTGTCTGATGCTACAGCCGCCTGTGTGTGGGTTTTAGGAACATTCGTTGACATTACGCTGGTCTGCGACTTGCTGTCGCCTTGTGTTGTCGCCACAGATAGTGTTTTGGGCTCTGTCTGCTTTGAGGTCGTGTCATTATGGACACCGAGATGTGGAGCAATCTTACAGGCCTACTTTCGTGTTTCCCAACAAAGTCCATTAAATTCGACCCCCTCGACGTAACGTACTTACGTTAGTTATTTAAAAATATTCACAATAGATGCAGTTTTTAGGTTTTCTACCTCAATTATCAATGCAACAAAGTCATCTTGCGTTGTTTAATGATGCTGAAATATTTTCAAGTTCCTTTTGTGACTTTCCATCGCGCTTGCGTTGAGATCTCTTCTTAATTACCACACAATGGTACAGCAGGTTTTTTGCATCTGTAATCGCCTGCACAGTAAATGCACTACTGCATATTTGCATCAAACTTATTTGATCCATTACGTCTAGCTTATTATATGTGTGTGAAAGCCAATACTTCACTTATTATGAAATTGCAACTATTACACGCTTGACATCGTGAAGCGCCAGTCATGTATGCGTGCGTCACCAAGATTGCGCGCGCGACGACTCCCTTATGCTATACTTATTTACTTACCCCTTCTATTACTATATTACGAAACGCTTCGATTACGTATAGTAAAATGTTTGGTCGTCCTTTAGTACTGCACCGAAGCGCCTAACGGCTTCGCCATCCTGTCGGAGCCGGTGTCGAGGATCTTCCCCAAGGACGACTCCGCGCCCGCCCCGCCCGGGGCCGTCGACCAACCGCTGCACGACGTCATGCAGGAGACGCTCGACGTGCACTTCCAGGTGACATACGCGCCATTAACCATAAATTAGATCAAGCAAGTTTCACTTACCTTTTCTGTGTAATTTTGTATCAGTATGAATTTCCTTCAATCTAGGAAATCCATTTTTTATTATAACTTTTTTGTTATTATTTTTTACGATTGAATAAGTGAATCGTTAGAGTCATTGTTCCAGTTTATTATTATCATAAGTATTCGTATGTTGTTATTTTTATAATAGTTTTTACATCGCGATGTACTCTATTATTTACGTAGGTTATAAAATGTCGACAGGGCTTATAAATAATGCGTAACTAATAATGTGATCACCGATCGTTTCGTTTCCCGCAGGGTCTCGTGTTTCGCGAGCGTAACGCCGGGCGGCAGATCGACGCGCACATGACCGACAAGGGGTTCAACGTGCAGATCGGCGTCGACCCCGAGACCGGGTTCCCCTTCGGCGGCAACGACGCCAACTGCGGCACCTGGATGGACAAGATGGGCTCCTCCGAGAAGGCGGGCACTCGGGGCGTCCCCGCCACGCCGCGCGACGGCAGCGCCGTGGAGCTGGTCGCGCTGGCCTACCGCGCCGCCGCCTGGCTGGCCGGCCAGCATCGCGCGCAGCGATACCCCTACCCCGGGGTGGTGAGGCGGCACCAGGACGGCAGCCTCACCTCCTGGACTTACGCCGCGTGGGCCGACCGCATCCGCGCTCACTTCGAGCGCGCCTTCTGGATCCCCCCCGCCTCCGCCTCCGCCTCCGCCCCCGCCCCCGCCGACCCGCGCCCCGACCTGGTGCACCGGCGCGCCATCTACAAGGACACGTGCGGCGCCACGCGCGCCTACGCCGACTACCAGCTGCGCTGCAACTGCGTCGTCGCCATGGCGGTCGCGCCCGACCTCTTCGACCCGAAGCGCGCCTGGCTCGCGCTCGACAGCGTCGAGAGGCTGCTGCTCGGTCCGCTCGGCGTCAAGACGCTGGACCCCGGCGACTGGGCGTACCGCGGCGACTACGACAACTCGAACGACGGCGCCGACCCCTCGGTCGCGCAGGGGTACAACTACCACCAGGGGCCCGAGTGGGTGTGGCCGTTCGGCTTCTACGTGCGCGCGCGGCTCGCGTTCGCGCACGACAACGGCAAGCTGGCGCGCACCGTCGCCGCCGGGTACGCCGCGCTGGCGCCGCACGCCGCCGAGCTGCGCGCCTCCCCGTGGCGCGGCCTGCCCGAGCTCACCAACGCGGGCGGCGCGTACTGCGCGGACTCGTGCCGCTCGCAGGCGTGGAGCTCGGCCACCGTGCTGGAGGCGCTGCATGCGCTGGTGGCGGCGCGACGCGCGCGCAAGGTGGCGGCGGACTGACGGCGCGGGCGCGTGCGTCCGGCCCGCGTGCGCACCGCCGCGCGCGCGCCCTCCCCGCGCCGCCGATACGCCGAGCCCGCCGCCGCCGCCGCCCCGCGCCGCCGTCGCCGCCCGCCCCTCCCCCTGCCCCGCCTCCTGAGCCGCGCCCCGCCCCCCTGCATCACCGCCGTGTACAACCTGCTGCAGCCTCGGTCCGGCGCGCTGGCCACGGTGGTGTACAGCGACCGCTACTTCCGCTACGGCCTGCGCCTGCGCGCGCGCCGCGCTTCGTCCCGCCCCCCTCCCGCTTCCGCTCCCGCCCCCGCCCCCGCGCACCACATGCCGCTGCTGACGGCCGCCCCGCGCCGGCCCCCGCCCGGCGGCGCCCTGCTCGCCGCGGACCGTTCCTCGAGCTCGCCTCCCGGTCCGCGCCGATCCCGCGCGCGCTTCCCGGTCGCGCCGCCGTCTCTGTTCGAGATGGAGGCGAGCGAACGGTTCGAACCCGCCTTGGACGACGAGCCGCCCCTCCCGCGCCCCCCGCCGCTCGGGTACCGGCAGCCGAGGGCCCGCATCGACGTGCCGGGTGGGAGAAGACGCGACCCGATCCGCCCTCGACCGCGGGCCCCGACCCCGCCCCCCGCCCCCGCGGTCGCGGGCGACGCGCCGCGCCCCCAGTTCGCGCTGACGCGGGACGCTCCGGCCTCGCCCCCCTTCGCTCCGGACGCGCCGAGTGCGAACGAAACGAAGCGCCGGAGCGCCTCCGCCCGGAATCTGCAACGTAAAGTGCTCAACACGGAGCGAGCGACCGCCGCTGCGGAGAAACGACGGCGCGAATGCGGGCGACGCGCGACAGGCGCGGAAGCGAGGCAGCAGCGGACGGCGGTGCGGGCGCTGCTGACGGCCAGCGGACTGCTGTACACGGCCGCGCTGCTCGCCTTCTACTTCCTCAGCATCGCCTGACCACCCGCCCTTAGGCACCGACGAGTGGCTGCGATCGCTTCGACCTCGCCGCCTCCCTTCCCTCTCCGTTGACCGGAATTACGACAGGGAATGAACCCGCTCGACTCGTTTTCTATCTCGGGTTCGACCCTCCCCCTGTTTCATCGAAGCTCAAAAGGCGAGTGACGCGTCCACTCGGAGATGTCAGAATGTTTCGCTTCGCTATCGCTTGCTCGATTTCCGCGACCGACGAGGTTGCACAGCTTAGTCGAATTCGGTTGCCATATTATTTTCTAAGTTTTCTGTGAGATTCTATTGAGATGCTGTAGTTAATCTTGTTAACGCTTTAAATTTTAATGAAATCGTTCGATCGGTAACCTTTGTAATGATAATCGAAAACCATAATCGTCGGCTCGTCCGATTTTAATGAAGTCTGTCGGCTCTTCAGAATTGTTATTATATTTTTTATATTATTATTTATTTGTGAAGCCGATAACCGGTTCCAACTTCAAATTTATTTTTCATATGTAACATTTTAATATTATGGTGAATATTATTTTTGTTGTCGTTAAATAAGTTTAAATATGTTAATAGCGTACGTTGTTTTATATCATTTATGAATTAAATAAAAATACAACAATTAAATCAGTTTATTTCAACTTTCCATTTCCCTTCCCCAATCTAACCTGCAGCACTGAAACCCGTATTACAGACTGACAACTAAGTGTTGATTTTTACAGTTAGAAAAGGATGTTGCCATGTGCTATATATAACAACATCCCTTTCTAACTATGCTAGGTACGAAGTGTATACTCGGCTCTCGATTCTTTTGTTCTCATTTTCGTAAACAAGTATAAAAGCGCTTTTAAGTAACATCAGTCTGTAAAATACTGTACTAAATACTAGAGTAATAAAAATCAGTGTACAATTCCACCTGTGGATATCATAAAATATCAAGATTCTGTTTGGAATTTTGTATCCACTAACTGCAAAAAAAATGTTTCGTGAAATAAGTACCCTCACTTTTTTAATTATTTCCTACTAGCTTTTGCCCGCGACTTCGTCTGCGTGTAATTCGAATAAAAGCAAGGTCTTTATGTATCAATAACTGGTGCCCGCGACTTCGTGTGCGCAGTATTAGTATTTCGAGTAGCTTATATTAGCGTGAAAAGAACTAACATTATGACATTAAAATTGTAACATACATAATTTTTGGGTCGTATTAGAAATAAATTATCAATTTTTATTGTATTTATGGTTCACTATTTTGACAATAATGGCTTACTCATAAAAGATAGATATATATGGTGTCACAGAATTTTTTGTAGGACTATTTAAGATAAATATTTTCACCATACATTATATACATTAGCACTAACTGTTTTTGCAGCACACGCCTGAATAGCTCGCAGATTGCAGAATTTTTTCAGACTTAATTTTTATCGTTACATTTTGGACAATTCACACAATATCTTTATAAATTATAGCCTATGTGTTATTCTGATCTATAAGCTACATTACTGTAAAGTTTCATTAAAATCCGTTTAGTAGTTTTTGCGTGAAAGAGGAACAAACATCCATCCATACATCCATCCAAACAAACTTTCGCCTTTATAATATTAGTAAGGAAGTCAGAATCGACTGGGTACGGAGTGTAGTTTCTGGGTATAGACCGAGGAGAATGTGTTGCGAAAAGATCACCGTTATTTCGTTACCGGTAGAAGCTGAAGCCGTGTTGAGATGCATTTCACCAGGAATGTTAGACTTACCACCGCGGAGATCCTCGACGTACGACCAAAGTTTATTAGGATTTTGGCTATTCGAATCCTCCACCCCATCTGCAGCATAACATTGTTATGCTGCAGATGGGGTGGAGGATGTTATGTGGGATGATGGATGTTATGTGGGAGTCCGACCACCGGTGATGGTGATGTTTATAAAAATATGTGCTTAAATAAAAAAAATATTCTAATTGTGATTAAAATGGTGCCAGAATCATCAAGATCAATTAAAGATGGATATGCTTGCTACTAAGCATTTTAAGAAAGACCTCTGTGGTTTCTGGAAAAATACGAATCGACTGAGAAATTGTCCTGGCGTTCCTGTGTTTGGAGACGGCTCTAATGACCCTAAAGCTATTGCTAATTTTAAAAATAACTGTTATTGGGTCACCCTTGGGGCCATCGATGTCAACAGTGTTGGGTGGGGTGCATGGGGAATGCGTGAATACTAGAATAACGGCGAAAGAAGTGTATCACCGTAAAATCTATTTTTAAAGGCGAATTCCCTGGCCATGACGGCTTAAATGTGGAACATATATCGTACACTGGGTCACATATAACTAGGGTGTTAGCTATGTTATACAATTTCTGCATATATTAAGCGTACCTGCCCACTGAGATGATGGGGGCGGTGGTGGTGCCAGTGGTAAAAAACAAAGCTGGAAGTCTGACAGATATATCTAATTATAGACCGATTTCGCTGGCGACAATAGTTGCAAAAGTATTTGACAGCATTCTTAATACACAATTTAACAGATTTATTAAGTGACAAACAGTTTGGTTTTAGACCGGAACTTTCCACTGAAAGCGCGATATTGTGTTTGAGATTGCTGTTGAGTATTAGGTACACTAAAAAAACGCCTGTGTACGCTTGTTTCCTCGGCCTTTCAAGGGCCTTTGACCTCGTATCATATGATATCTTATGGAACAAAATGCAACATTCAAATATACCAGATGAACTTATAATCATATTTAAATATTGGTACGGAAATCAGTTAAATAACGTGACGTAACGGGCGGGCACGCTATCGGAATCGTATTGATTGGAATGTGGTGTAAGGCAGGGGGGACTCAGCTCCCCCTCTATTTTTAACCTATATATCAATGGACTGAGCGAGGAGCTCAGTGAGCGGCATGTCAGTTGGTTCATTGACGGCGTATGTTTTAATAACATTAGCTACGCGGACGGATATATAATTGTAGGAAGAGTAAAGTTATGGTATTTCATAGTGGATCTAAGAAAGTTACTGCAGTGCCATCACTATTGCTGAGTGGGTCCCCGTTATCTAGAGTAAAGGAATTTAAATATCTGGGTCATCTAGTTACTCCCACCTTGCAGGACGATGCTGACATTGAGCGGGAACGAAGGGTACTAGCTGTCAGGGCGAACATGGTAATTCGCAGTTTCAGGAGGTGTTCCACTGACGTTAAAGTAACTCTTTTTAAGGCGTTTTGCTCTTTTGACGTGACAACGTCTTAAATTAGGTTGCGGCTGGGAGTCACTTATGAAAAAGTGTAACGCTCGGTAACGTTACGATGAGTTTAAGTTTACATGTACAATGTTTTAGTAAACAAAATATATTTCTATAGTTAAAATTTGTGCAATTCTTATTTTCATTCAATTCCTTGTTCCTATTGTGCAATTTAATTATATTCATATCAATAAATATTCTACCGAGAAAAAGACGTTGTCACGTAAAATCTTCGCCCGTAAAACCGACTTTACAGGCAACCATTTTTCTTTTTACACATGCAGCCTCTGGACTAATTACACTCTGAAATCGTATGACGCCCTTTGAGTTCAGTTCAACAACGCGTTTACAATAATGGGGCTCCCAAGTTTTTGTAGTGCTTCGACAATGTTTGCGTAAGCTCGCAGATTGTTTTTTCAGATTAATGACATTGTGTTGTGTTTCTTTAGTTTTATAAGTTTTATTTAATTTTATTGACATATTTTTAATGTTGCAATTCAATTTTTATTATTAGTGAATGTTCAGAAATAATTTTAATTTAATAAATGAATAATAATAAATAGTTAATTAATGTAATAAGTATAATAAGAGTATGAATTTAAGACTAGCTGACCCAGTGAACTTTGTACCGCCATAAAAATAGGGGCAGGTGGTAGAAGAGTAAATTTAGGGTTGTATGTATTTTTTAATACCATATTATAAAAAAAAATGACGAAAAATTTTTTTAACTGTGTGTAACGTAGTGTTGTATCAATTTCCTGGAATAACATTCCTCCTAAACCATATGAGAACACTACGTTAAAATATCCAATAGTATGAATTTTGGTGCGAAGGTGCATTGTAGGTTTCAGAACACTACGTTACTGGTGAACAACCATAATCACTCAAGGATATGAAAAATAAATAGTAGCCGATTCTCAGACCCACGGAATATGCATATAAAATTTCATAAAAATCGGCAGGCCGTTTCGGAGGAGTATGGTAACTAACATTGTGACACGAGAATTTTATATATAAGATTAACTACAGAGCTGATGTTATCTAGAACTGAAGCGAGTACGCCAAGTGATACAGGTGGAGGTACGTAGACACCGCAAATCAAAGAGTCTTCTACCGTATTACTGATTTTGACTCTAATAGATACCCATAAGTCTTCGTTTCTACTTTCGTAGTGCTGGATGCGGGCTGACTGGATATGTTTCGATATAACAATTAGTACCCCACCACCTCTTTTATATAAAGAGGATGTTGATTGGCGGTCTTTTCTGTAAATGGTATACTTATCGCTCAGAAGTTCGTTGTCGTTGATGGTGTCATCCAGCCAAGTCTCGGTTGCGATAATGATGTCATAAGATATTGCCAAAGAAGCGAGCCTGATGTCAAATAGCTTAGTGCGCATGCCACGGAGGTTTTGGTAGTATATGGTGAATTTTGCAGTAGTTGATACGGCAATGTAATCGTACAGTTCTGAAAAGGGTACAACTGCTTCAAGTCATTCGTCGAATTAACCAGCCCAGCCGGTGATTCATCATTCTTGCGTATAAAGATTCGCCCGTTGCGTATCCAAACATATTTATATCCTTTTTTCTCGTGCTATATATTATCTCTTGTGTGAGTATTTGGAGGTTTCACGATTATTGATAGAGGTCTCTTGCTAGTGCTGTCAAGTTTTCTTACTCTGGTACATGCAATAATGTCAGTCCCTTCGATGGGACAAGAAATTACTGTTCCTATTTGCTTCACCAATGAAAGTGTGTTTTCGTCTCTTTGATCACGGGGGGCGCTTAGGTAGGTAACGCAGTGCCTCCTCAATGCACGCATAGGGCAGGGTGTTGAAGGCGTTAGCAATGTCCAATGATACCGCCATAGTCACCCTGCCCCTCGAAATCGCTTCTCTCGCAAATGCCTTAACGCAACAAATAGCGTCAATGGTAGAGCGATTTTCACGAAACCCGAACTGCGTGCTGGACAGGTCCGGGCCAGATTCCTTTAGATGCTGGTTGATGCGGCTGGATATAACCCTTTCTAAAAGTTTACCCGCTTCATCCTGCAAGACTATTGGCCTGTAAGCCGACGGGATATTAGGTGGCTTTCCAGGCTTCGAAAGCAAGACCAAGCAACCTCTTTTCCACATTTTGGGGAAACGACTAGTCGACAGACAAAGATCGAAAATCCCTTTAAAGGCGACTCTCCAGTGTGCTAAGGGACACGCCCCAAAACCCTGCCGGGAACACCATTCGGGCCAGGAGCAGTTGTTTTGGCCCGGAGTCTCCTCATCGCAGCTTCCATTTCCCCAGCAGCGGTAAGAGAGGGGGAAGTATCCTCGTCTAGTTCAGCCCTATTAACAGGAGCAATGCAATGTAGGGCGGAACAAGCTCCGCTCGAGATGGAAAAAGAGCGGAGATGACACTTTCGAGAAAAGCGGGC